TAATCAATTAATGAATAAGCCGGGCTCCCATGCCATGCTGACAAATGCATTCAGTCGCCCATTCAGCAAATGACGTCTATTCCATGCCCAGGCCGAGGAACAGTGCCAGGCTCTGGGGATATTCTTGGTCAGGAATCATTTATTTGAAAGCAACAGGAGCCCATTCAAAGCAGCTTAAGGTTTTTGCTTAAGGAGGACTCTTGGAATAGTTACAGTGATAATTAATGGAACCCAAGGAGAAACCATGTGTCTGGGTCTCCAAGGCCTGGACCCGGAACCATGTGTCTCCGCCCCACCTTCCCCAACTCCCACTCTAGTTACCAGGTCTCCCATCTCCGCTTTTCTCTGAGACACTTCCACTTCCTTCTTTGTCATTTGTACTTAGAGTTCAGCACACACAGCTCATTCATTTGGTCTGTCTGTGTCACTTCCAAATAACTGGGAACTCCTGGCTGCATAGTATCTATGGCTGCTCTAGGCATTGACTCCAGGACCGTGCATCTCTAGGAGAACATGGGGGGATGGGGGGAGGGGAAGAGGTGCTTCTGCTGCAGACATTGCTCCCTCTTAGGGGTTCCCAGCACTGGGTGAACATTGGAACCAACTGGGGGGCTTTGAAAAATACCAGTGCCTGAACCGTGTCCTCTCCCTGTTCCCCTTCTCCCACGTTCTGCTTTAATGTGTCTGAGAAGGGGGCTCAAGCATCCGTGTTTTCTTAGATTCCCAGGTATCCCTAATGTGCACCCCAGATTGAGACTCTCTGCTGTGGTAGGAAAGACAGTAAAAAGTCATTACAGGACTTTCTTGACGGCCCAGTGATTAAGACTCTGAGCTTCCATTGCAGGGGGCGCGGGTTCCATCCCTGGTCGGGGAATGAAGATCCCGCATGCCACATGGCGTCCCAAAAGCAGGAAAAAAAATCACTACAAGTTGATAATGGCTTTGATGAGGAAGTACGGGGGCAGCACATCTGACAGTCTAGAAGGAGCAGGAAAGAGATACACTAAGACCTGATGGTGTGGAGTGCCCGTACCTTGCAGAAAGCATTCAGCATCGTGGGCTTTCGTGTGTGTCATTGATCACCATGAGGTAGACAGTGTCTGGGTTATAGTGGGGACTGAAAAATATGGGTTGAATTCACGAATGAGATATCATTCAGGTAGAGAGTTAAAGGTGGAGAGAACTTGATTTTTCATGATTGAGGCCACTTGTGTGTAGCTGACCAAGGCAAGTGTTAGTGTCATGCCCATTGGCCAGAGGGAGATGCAGAGGTTGCCCAGAATCCCTGGCTCTGAGCAGCAGAGCCAGACCCAGACCCGGCTATTGGGACTTCCACCTCCTACACCTTTTGTAGGGTGACCAAGCGTCCCGGTTTGCTCGGAACTGTCTTGGTCTTAGTGCTGAAAGTCCTGTGCCTGCGGAAACACTTCAGTCCCAGGCAAACTGGGATGGTTGGTCACCGTACCTGTCAGTGGTTTCCCAATGTTCTCCGTCCTGTGGAGGTGCCGCGGCCCTGCCAGCCAGCTGGGACAGGCAGGAGGCAAGGGGAAGGCCAAGCAGGCAGGGTTCCAAGCCTACCTCCCCAGCCTGCAGAGGCTCAGCTCTGCTTTAGCTGTGCTAGATAGAAGTTTATTACCATACAGGCACTTGGGACTTTGGAAACAAAGGCCCATCCTGAGGCAGGAGGGGACGTAGATCCAGCCCACAAAGGCATGGGGCAGCATCAGTCAGTTAGTGGTCAGGTGATACAGGGCAGAGAGAGGGCATCCTGGGGACCAGGCATGAGCTGAAGCCCAGGATCGCAGCCTGGTGAGGCCCCAGTTCTAAGTATAGTACCTCGAACCCAGATGAGGCCACAGGTGTGCTTCTAGAACGCTTCCTCCAGCCAAGATAAGGACCCGAACATGACTCTGGTCTCAGAACAACCCCAGGTGTGATTTCTGAGTCCCTTCCTAGGAGTTTGGTAGTCCCAGGTGTAGTTTCTGGATCAATCCCTCTTAACCTGCTGAGGCCTCAGGTGAAGGTCTAGACCAGCGAGTGGCTCTCCACCTTGACCACACATTAGGATCACCAAGGGGCGCACAGGCCACACCCAGACTAGTGACAGCAGAGCCCAATGTACAGTCAGGGTTGAGACCCGCTGGTGGAGATACTTAGCAGCCCAGGTGAAGCCCCAGGCTCTGCCCTGAACCTGGTACGGCTCCTGGAGTAGTTTGGAATCGTTCTAGGGGTCTGAGTTTGATGCTTAGAGGGTTTCGGGATCCATCTTGGGACTCCTGGTGGAGCCCCAAGTCAAGGTATCCATCCCTCACTTCAGGTCTAGGGAAGCTCTGTGGAGGCCCCAGGTGGAGCTCTGGGCCCATCCCTGCAGCCCTGGTGAGGCTCCAGGAGTAATTTCACCAAGCCTTGCTTCTTCTTTAATGAAGCCAGGGATGGTCCATTGGCGGTTTCTGCTTCTGTTGCATTTCCAGATATGTCCCAGCAACTCTAGCTGGGCCTGTCAGGATTCCACATTTGAAATGTGGGTTCCGGAGGAGCCCCTGGGTTTATTTCTGAATTTATACCACATCCTTGATCACATATAGTGTGTGAGTCCTGATCAATGTCCCAGGGAGGCCTCAGATGTGGCTCTGTCTTGACTGGAGAGTTCTAGAGTGCCCCAGGGCTGATTCCAGAACAATGCTTCTGCTCTGCAGAGGGGTCCAGCCAGCACCCACATGAACCCATACGGTCACATCATTTTGGCAAACATGGCTAAGCTCTTGTCCCATGGTCATGCTGAGGCCCACGTATTGTTCTCAGTGAGTCCGCCAGACTCTGAGAAGCTTTGAGGGAGTTCTGGTTGGACAGAATGCCCAAGGTGTGGTCCTGGTCTCATCACAGCAGCTCTAGTGGCCCCAGTTTGAGCCCGGTGTCCACTCTGCCACTCTGCAGTGGTTCACCTCTGGCCTCGGCACATCCTTGTAACTCTGGGTAAGCCCAGGGGTGGTTCAGCTTTCAAGGGTGACCTGGGGTCTGTCAGAGCTCTGATCCAACACCAGCTGAGGTGATGGGGCTGTCTCAAGAGCTCTGATGGTACCCAGGGTCACTGTTCGTCCCTAGAAATGATGGATATTGATAGCATTTCCCCAGAATCCTCAGAAACACCCCCATTCACCTGCTAGACCACCAGCCTTGTGAGATCCTCAGGCGGAGGAGCTCCAAGATCTGAGTGGACAGTAGGTACCCAGGGAAGGTGTGTTATTCCGGCTCCTCTTCTTTCCAGCCATGTGGGCTCAGGCAAGCGGCTTGACTTTTCTGCACCTCAGGTTCCTCTGCAGTAAACAGATAATAATACCTGTTCCACCTGGTGAATATGGGAATAAATGAGATCACGGGAAACAAGCATCTGTGTGTTCACCACCTCTCGAGAGATGGGGAAAGTGATTAGGTGGCCACCGCAGCTCCGGCTTTCACCTGCTCCCTCGCAGGGGGAGGACAGCCAGCTATCTGCTTCCTAGGAAAGAAATGAGAGACATTGACTCTGCAAAACACACACACACACACACACACACACACACACTTCTGGCTGCCACCAAGAACGACAATTAACAGAAAGTCATGTCAGCGGAAGCTAAAAACAAGTTTACGTGCCTCATCCTGCTGGTCCCTGCTGCCTGGGCCCCGAGGGACGGAAGGACAAGGGACAGCGCCCACTGACACAAGGCCGCACCATGGCCTGCGGTGCATCTTCTGAATGGGCAGGCCTCGGGGGCCCTCTCTGCAACTCACTGCCTGCCTCTCTCCTCCTAGTTTCACCAGGACCAGACCCAGGAGGCCTCCGCAGGTGGGGCCCCCAGCACTTTGCCTGTGCACCCTCTCTCTGGCTGAGCCAGCTTTCCTCTCCGCCCCGAGGCTGACACCCCCGACCCCTGTCTGCAGCCCGCAGAGACGTGGCCTACAGGCACACAGGGTCTGCATGTCCACCCCCCACCCCTGACCCCCTGACACCTGCCCTTTATCCTGCCCATGCCTCCCCCAGTCTATGGCATCCCCACCCACCTAGTTGCTCCAGCCAGAAACCTGGGCTTTCTGGTCTCCTCCACCCCATCCCGCCACTCAGCTCCACCACCCAGGCCCTGCCCCCTGCCCAGCCTCCTCCCTGGCATCCCTAACCCCACTGCACGACCCCTCCTACCCACGAGCACACCATGCGCTCTCGATTCCATCAACCGAAATAAAACCTGGACCAACCAACGCCTCATCCTCTGGGAAGGCCTTCTGCTTTCCCTGGGCTGAATCAGTGGCTGGCTTTCTCTGGGCCCTTTTTTCTTACCTCCATGACAGTAATGATCGTTGCACTGCGTTCATTATAGCAAACACTTGTACTTACTAGATTTCGGTCATTGTTCTAAGAGCTTTACACGTATTCATTCATAGAACGATATTACAGATGTGTGTCTCTCGTTGGCTCCTCTGCTCCCCTGGGAGCTCGGGCAGCAGACCCCACATTTGCCCAGCTCTAAGTCGGTCACTGTACCCAACACGAGCTGGCTTCCAGTGGGCTCTGCTCGGGTCTATCTGTTCATTGCTCTAACTCCAGGACCTAGAAGAGTGTGTTGAAACATTTGTGTGGAGTGAATTAAGTGCATGCTGCCCTGAATTGATACCCGGTCCCCAAAGGGGATGTTCTCTTGGTGTGTTTTCTCTGCCTTTCTCCCAGCATACCTGATGGTTTAAAAGTGGCTTTTTTGCAGTTTGTTGGTAAATAGGACTTTGTGGGGTTTGCTTCCTTCTTACAATAGCCTAAGCATAGGTTCTGTTACATGGTACAAAGCCTGCCTTAATAGAGAGTTTGAAACCGCTAAATAGAATGGCGTTCCGATGATCACGAATAAGGAATCCTTGCCTAGCAGGTGTGGCAATGAGTGCTTTGCAGAACAGCCAGATCGTTAACGGGAGACGCTGCCGCTTCCGTGCCGATCACCCTGGTAATTGGAGCTGTCTTCTTCTTGGTGCAGCATTATTTCACGGTTAACTTCAGCCACGAGAACCAGAAAGCCTTGGAGCTGAGGACAGAGGACGCCAGGGATTGTGACGAGTGGGTGGCAGCCATCGCTCACGCCAGGTATGTCTCGCCCACCCAAAGGCCCCGTCCTGAGCAGACTCAAACCCCAGGAGGGGAAGGCATGGAGGAGGAGGAGATGGGGGGAGGATGGAAGCTGTAAGAAGGGCATCTTGACAGGCCCACCCTTAGAGCCCCGGAGCTCTGGGACGTGCCTCCCTGGGGTGCACAGGGAACCAAGGGCCCTGAGGAGCAGCGTTACAGCCTCCTGCCCCCTTCAACCAGATGAGCTCCTTTTTTTCATACTAGAAGAACCGAGTACAATTTGGTTGGTTTACAGGGCTTTATAGCCACAAAAGGCTAAGACCACCAGGGTTCTAACCCGGATGCTGCAGGAATGGACTAGTCCTGTCTTTTCTCTGGGCCTTGGTTTTCTCATCTGTAAACTGAAATTCTGTAAACCTCTCTGAGCTGGGATGTTCAGGGATTCTAGACCTGCTCTTCCCTTCATTCCCAACAATGTGTACCCCTCTCTGGAGGGATTCACTGGGCCAGGTGGGGAGAAAAGCAAAAGGAGAATGTATGCTGCAGAGAAAATGGGGGCTCCAAGCTGTGTTGAGCCTTCCTGGGTCTTGGGGAGATGATGGGCTTGTGGGCTGGGGTGTGGCCCCCAAGCTAACAATCCCCTGGCAGAGCTAAGTACTGTCAGGGGGGATGGACATCCAGACTCACCCCTTTGAGCAGTAGATCTTTCTGGCTGAGTGGATAATGGTGTGTTCCTGTGTCTACTTTCCAGTAAAGTGTAAGCTCCTCGGGGCAGGGACTAAGTGTGATTCTTTGCATCCCCAGGGCCTTATAAAGGTATAGACAAGTTCTCAGCAGTGTAGATGGGAAGAATGCAAGGACGAATGAATGGATAGAGGTGGGATGTTGAGTTTATATGTGGAAGGTGAATGATGGATCAATAGAGGGTAAATGAATGATAAATGGATGAGTGTTGAAAGTATATGTGAAGGACGGATGGATGGATGGATGATAAATCAATAATGGGTAGATGAATGTTGATGGGTAGATGATGGATCCATCAGGTGAAGATGGATAGATAGATGGATACCAGAGCCCTTCCTTGAGCCTTGGATCAAACCAGCTGACCAGAAACCATTTATTATGGCTATAGCACTGACCTTGACCCTGAGTTCAAGCCACCTCCATCCCTATCCTCAAGGAGTGTCCAGTCTAGCTAATGGAGACTATGTTCTCACCTATGAATCAATAGAGTCAGGCTCTGAGTGTGGTACTGGGCAGACAGGGATGGATGCAACACAGGTATTCCCCCAGGGCTACCCCAGCCTAGTCAGGAAGACACTAGACAGATGTACAAATAGCTCCGGTGCATGAAGGCCGTGTTAAGTACAAGGCACCATAGGAGACATCTCCAGGGAAATGGGAGAATCTGGGGGATCTGGAAATAAGGTGACATTTGACTTGAAAGGGGAGATTGGAGCCTCATATATAATGAGTTTAGCTATGGGCACTTCGTCCCATCCACCAGCCCCCAAAAAGCCTTAAATAAAGGCAGTGATCTAGGAAAGACAATTCCAAGAAAAATGAAGAGACAAAGTTTGGGTGTCAGAAGGTTGATGAGGTTGGACATCGGACTGGAACCAGATCAGAACGATCTTGAATACCCAGCTGAGATGTTTGAGCTTTCCTCTGTGAACAGTGGGAAGCCATCAAAGGTTTTACACCAGGCGAGCAACATGATCAGAGCTATGATTTGGAGTGGAAATTGCTGGCATTGTGGAGAATGGAATCAAGCAGGAAGAACCCAGATTCAGGGGAAGCAGCTGGACCTCAGGCTCCCAGCACTAAACTAGAACCAATAGCAGGGTTGTTTTGAGAACCAAATGAAATTATTTATGTGACAGGGCTTTGTAAGTGTTGAGGTATTATAGAATTCTAATTTGGTATATACTCTGGATACCCAGGACTACATTGACTTCGAAAATCAATTCATACCAAAATTTTCTAGAGACAATGAGACACCACTACCTGTGGAATCTACAAGGGCTGAATTGAAAAAGACCGACAGTAGCAAAATTGGAGAGGGGGTGGAGTAGCCATAAATCACATGATGCTAGTGGGAGCATAAAGTGGTTCAGCCACTTTGAAAAATTGTTAGGCATTTCCTTTAAAAGTGAGACGTGCACCTACCCTGTGACCCAGCAGTTACACCTCTTAGTATTTAAGAGAAACGATAAACATCTACAAAAAATCGTGTATGCAAATGTCCTTAGCAGCTTTTTGCACAATAGTCCCAAAACTAGAAATAACCAAGGTGTCTATCAACAGACAGATGTAGAAAAGAACCTTAATACATCCATGTGATGGAATACCGCTCAGTAATAAAAAGGAACCCAATGGGAGGGAGGCTCAAGGGGGAGGGGATATGGGGACATATGTACGCATATGGCTGATTCACTTTGGTGCACAACAGAAACTAACACAGCATCGTGAAGCAATTATACTCCAATAAAGATCTATTAAATAAATATATATATATATATGTAACAAAACAGATGAATTTCAAAGTCGATAGGCTGCGTAAAAAGAGCCAGACACAAAGTAGTACCTGCTGCCTGATTCCTGTTGTATGAAAGTCTAAGACAGGCAGAACTCAACTGTGGTGATAGAAATCCAAACAGTAGTTGCTCGTGGGGTGGGGATTGACAGGGAAGGGGCACGAGGGAACTCCCTGGGGTGATGGGAATTTCCTTTATCTCGATTAGGGTGTATGCATTTATCTACCCGGATCCAACTGTATATTTAAGGTCTGTGCTTTCCATTATATGGGCATTAATCCTCAAATTTTTAAAATAAATTCTATCTTTTAGAGTGTTTTAGCTCTCTACTCCTGCAGAACAAATGATCACAAACTTAGCAGCTTAAGGGACTTCCCTGGAGGTCCTGTGGTTAAGACTCCACGCTCCCACTGCAGGGGGCGTGGGTTCGGTCCCTGGTCGGGGAACTAAAATCCCACATGCCATGTGGTGCGGCCAAAAAAAAAACCCCACAAACTTAGCAGCTTAAAACCACACCCATTGCTCAGTTTTGTAGGTCGGAAGTCCGGGCTCGGCTGTGGTCTCTGTACAGAGGCCCATGGGCTGAAATCAAGGAGTCAGTCAAGCTGGGCTCTTACCTCGAGGTTCTGGAGAAATCTCTGCTTCCAAGCTCACTCCTGTTGTTGGCAAGAGTCAGTTCCTTGTAGGACTGGTGTCCCTGTTTCCCTGCTAGCCATCAGCTAGGGATGGCTCTCAGCTCCACAGGTCCTGCCTTCCTTGCCCTGTGGTCCCCGCCATCCTTAAGCCAACAACGGCTCACCAAACCCTTCTTCAGCCCCAAATCTCTGACCTCCCCTTCTGTAACCAGCCAGAGAAAACTCTCCATTTTCAAAGGCTCATGTGATTGGGTCAGGCCCACCTAGAGAATCTCCCTATGTTAAGGTCAGCTATGCCGTATAGTATAGCCTAGTAAGAGGAATAAAACCCATCATATTCATCATCCCAGAGATTATGCAGGGCTTCGAAACCAGGGCAGGAAACTTGGGGCTATCTTAGAATTCTGTCTGCCACAGAGAGGGGACAATGATTCTTTAAGCAACTCACTAAACTGGAGATTGGGTCCAAGTAGCCCATAAAATCCTAATCATATGGGTTTTTTGTTTTTTGGGGTTTTTTTTTTTTCGGTACGCGGGCCTCTCACTGCTGTGGCCTCTCCCTCTGCGGAGCACAGGCTCCGGACGCGCAGGCTCAGCGGCCATGGCTCATGGACCCAGCCGCTCCGCGGCATGTGGGATCTTCCCGGACCGGGGCACGAACCCGTGTCCCCTGCCTCAGCAGGCGGGCTCTCAACCACTGCGCCACCAGGGAAGCCCGACACCACCTACCTTTGAACAAAAACCTCTCGGTACTCACCATCCTTTAGGAAGCCAGGGGGATGTGCCAGTTGGACATGGTTTGTCTTCCCTGGTCAAGCCCAGGGGTCTGAGTCAACCCACTGGCCTCAGAGGAATGTCCTCCTTTGGGCCTATAGGGCTGGGACGGGAGTCACAGTGATGGTCACCAATAAGGGAAACAGTCCCCTTCCCTAGAATAGTTGTCACCAGCCAGTCTGACTCAGGTGCAGCTTGTCAGGCACCTCCTGGGCCAACCGAAGCCACAGGCTCTTCCCTAGGCAGCGGCTGTGTGACCAAAGGACAGACTATAGGCTCTGAGCGTTATTTAACCTCAGATCGTGCTCATCATGAGAGTATGTGCATGTGTGTGTGTCAAGGGAGAGACCGGCTCTCTTCCACAGCAATACTGAGTAGTAGGTATGCTTGCATGTACCTAATTTAGTTTTTATTTACGTATACATAGTAGATACGTGGTATATACAAAAATAAGCGCTATAGTGTATGAATAGGTATAGAGACACAATGTACTCTCCCACCGTATGTATAATAGTCTAGTATTCTGGGATGCCCCCGTGGTGTGTGTATGTACAGCAACGTATAAAATGTAACACCGAGTGTGGCTTGTGGTCTGCATCTCAGCGAGGAGAACTAGATGCAAACCAGACAGCCATGTGGGAGTCCTCTTCAGGGACTGGAGCCTGATTCCGGCTCCAGCTTTGACGCTCCTTGACTGTTATTTGGGGGCAACTCACTTCCCCTCTCTGGGCCTCAGTTTCTTTATTTATAAAATGAGGCAGTTGGCCTTTCTTGATTCCTGAGTATCCTTCCAGCCCTGTGAATCTGTGCATCTATAAAGACAGTGCTGCACAGAGATGTGGATGGACCTAGAGACTGTCATACAGAGTGAAGTAAGTCAGACAGAGAAAAACAAATATCTTGTATGAACGCATATATGTGGAATCTAGAAAAATGGTACAAATGAACCTATTTGCAAGGCAGAAATAGAGACACAGACGTAGAGAACGAATGTATGGATACCAAGGGGAGAAGGGGGGCGGGAAGAACCGGGAGATTGGGATTGACACATATACACTATCCATACTGCGTATAAAACAGGTAACTAATGAGGACCCGCTGTACAACACAGGGAACTCTACTCAATGCTCTGTGGCGACCTACATGGGAAGGAACTCTAAAAAAGTGGGGATATATGTATACGTAGAGCTGATTCACTTTGCTGTTTAGCAAGAAACTAACACAACATTGTAAAGCAACTATACTCAATAAAAATTTTAAAAAGAGACAGTGCCGCGCAAAGAGGTGCCCAATAAATCTGTATTGATGAGAGGCGGAGGGAAGGAGAAGAAGGAAGAGCAAGGGGAGGCGGAGTGGGGAGGGAGGGAGGCAGGCAGAGAGGGCCGGTGAAGGGAACAAAGGGAAGTGCAAACAGACCAAATTGTCCTGCAGATGAGACTCTGGCTCCCCGTTTTGAAGCACCAGGGCGAGTGCCATCGCTAAAAACAAGCTACTGAAGGCTCCGCATTTTCACACCCCCTGGAGCGAGGAGAGATGAGGTGGTGTGAAAATGGATTCCTTCATGCTCTCAGTTGAAGTTCCTTTGCAAGTAAAGACAATTAAGCCTCTTGGGAAGTTGGGAAAACATTAAAACCTGATCATTCTGGTTTAAATTCATTATAATAAGAGATGCACAAAACTCCTCATTTTAACCAAGTAGTACTGCAGACCGAAGAATTCTCTCCCTGCCCTGCCGCACCCTCCCACCTTCAGGGCACAGCTGGGCAGCCTCCTTCTCTGACACCATCAGGGGACCACTGCCTACCACTTTGCTACACGGCCCCTTTCATAGAGCAAAGCTGTTTCCCACCCTCGGCCTCCTGGCCTCCTCACCTCAAACCTGGGGGTTTGTAGGGAAGATATCATTGTCCCATTTTGCCACGAGGGTCACAGGGACTTAAAGAACTTGTGTAACACACAGCTTCTGAGTCTGTGACAAGAGCCAGTGTCCCTAAACTGGCACCCCCCTGACTAGCCACATCCAGGGTACCTGGAAGGTCATGTCAGTAGATTCCAGACTGAAAAGTGTCCCCTCAATTTAAGTGGGAGATAGTTGGTGACCCCAGAGAGGGACCCAGTTCCTGTGGGTGCTGGGGCCAAACGCCAGCCCGCCGAGGGCTGACGGGTGAAGGGGAAGAGGGACCATGGGGTTGATGAGTGCGGCTGCTTTTCCAACAAGCCTCACCTTGAAGGTGGAAAAGAGGGGCAGGAGTTCAGGGGAGGGTGGGGGAGGGCGAGAGCACGTCCTCATCCTAAGTGGGGAGTGACTTGAGGCTTCGCATATGCTGAGGAGAGAAAGCCAGTGGAGCTGTTAGGCAGAATCTGATGCACAGAAATCCTGAGGAGGGGTCAGGGGCTAGGGATGTGGAGGGGAGGGAGATGGTAGTTACCACAGCACTGGCACACCACACAGAGTTTCATGTGTGTCCACAGATTTCATCCTCATGGCAACTCTGCAGGGTATGGACTGTCATCATCCCCATTGTATGGATGAGCAAACTGAGGCACAGAGAGGCTGAGTGACCTATCCAATGTCCCTCAGCTAGTGTGTGTGGGAGCTGGGGCTGAGCCAGGCAGATTAGGTCCAAGCAGGGATGCTGCACTTGAGACAGGATGAGGGTGGGCGTGCCGTGGGGCTGGCGGGAAGTGACAGAACAGCATCGCACATCATGCAGGCTGTGATGTCAGAGCAGGACCGCCTGCAGAGGACTGGGGGGGTGGTGGTGGTGAGGAATGAGGTTGAAGGGGGCCAAAGCTCTGGGGTGGGTGGGGAGCTGGCAGGGACACCAGCAATGTTTCAAGGCCCCGCTGAGGTTGGAAAGTGGGAAACGGGGGGCTGCCCACTGCTGAGAGGGGGACACAGGAAGGAAGACGAGGGTGAGTGCGAGGAGGAGCCCAGGATGCGGGCAGAGGGGAATCTTATGAGATCCTATCTGGTGGTCCTGGGCTGAAGCAAAAAGGGAGAGGAAAGATGGGGACCAGGGAGAGGGGGGACTGGAGACCTCGGCCCCCAAACTTCGTTGCAGACACTCCCAGAGACCAATAAACCAGCGCTCTGAATCTGTGCCTTACAAGCCTCCTGCCCCTGCCGAGGTGGGCACCCCTCCCTGGAATAGGGAGATTCCCTTTCACAGCCTCTCTGCCCTCTGAGACTGGACCCCATTTATAGAATCGGGTTTCTCCCCAGCTCTGACACCTCCAAATGCAGGTGTTGTGGGTATCAGGGAGAAGCCAGGCCTGTGACCTTGGGCAGCCCCCGGCCCAGCTTATCTTCCAAGTCCCACCTGCCTGCCCTTCCCCTCGTCGTGATGCTCTGCAAATCTGAGACATGTTCATTTACACAAAGGCTGGGGCCACTTCTTCTACCCTCTGATCCTTTGGGGTACTCTCTGATCTGGCCCCACCTAAACATCCAGCCCCATTGCTAATTACCCCCAGCACAGGCCTTCCACCTGAGGCTGCCCTTGGATGGGCATGTGCCCAGAGCACTGGGTTTGGAGTCCAAAGACCTAGATTCCGATTCTGGTGGGAGAGAGAGCTCCGCCTCCAGGAAGTCTTCCCTGATTACAGGTCCTTGTTGCTGGCCTGGCCCCTCTTCTGATTCCTACAGCACTAACAGCCTTTGGTGCATGAGCTGGCACCCAGGTATACTGTGCAGGTTCTTCAGATGTCTCCCACACAGTGCAATGTATGTGCCTGACTCGCCTCTGTGTGTCGTCCATTCACTCAGTTGCATCCATGCAATAAATGTTCACTGGGCTAGGCCCTGGGCAGACAGGAGTAAGCAACACAGGCATAGTCCCTGCCATCAGAGAAGGTAGGGTCTCCTGAGGAAACAAAAGTAACCGGACACCCCCAATCAGTCTGGCCAGCGCTATGGTAATAGCACCCCGGGAGTACTGCAGGAACACCCTACACAGTATGGCGGGAGGGGGGAGGGAAGACTTCTGGGAAATGACATTTCAACTAGGACCTACTCTGGGAAAGAGGATGGAGCTAGCCCAGGGAGAGGAGGGAGGAGGCATGTTTCAGACAGAAGATCTGTCTGCGCAAAGGCCCAGAGGGTGAGGGCGGTCGGGCAAGGTGAGAACAAGACCAGGTGGAGGAACCAGATGTCAGTGTGAGCCGGGAGCTGGGGAAGGGGCCAGAGCCATCAGTAGCAGCACAGCAGCCAGGTTAAAGCCTCGGGCACTGTGTCTGGCAGTCAGGACCTTCTCCTAAGTGCAGTCTGTGGGGAGCCCCACTTCTGGTTGGATCTCCAGGGGGCCAGGAGGCCGTGGCTTACCTGCCGTGTTCCTCTGTCCACAGCTACCGGACCCTGGCCACGGAGCACGAGGCATTGATGCAGAAGTACTTGCACCTGCTACAGATCGTGGAGACTGAGAAGACGGTGGCCAAGCGGCTGCGGCAGCAGATCGAGGATGGGGAGATTGAGATTGAACGGCTGAAGGCAGAGGTGACCGACCACCTGGGGAGCGGAGGAGGCTGGCCGGGGGCCCGGGCCTCAGATCTCAAACCCGGGCTCCCGCAGGGTCAGGGAGGCACATGATGGGCAAGAGGGACCCGCTCCAGCCACGGCTGTGCCAGCTTCCAAACTTAAAGCCAGTGATGCTGGCAGAGTGGGAAGGTCCTGGGGTCAGATCTGGGGTCGAAGCCCACCTCTGCCACTTACCAACTGCAACCTGGAGCAAGTCCTCCAGCCTCTCTGCACCTCCATCCTTAAAACAGGCTGTTTCTCCCTAGCTGACAAGGTTGTGAGGATCAAGTGAGATCATTTATGGGCGAGTTCCTGGTTACTCTGCTGATAGCCACATGGGCGGAGGGGGTGAGGGCAGGGCCAGAGGGTGGCTGGTAGGTCCTTAGATTGTCGTTCGGGCTCAGCTCCAAGGCGGTCCCTTCCCTCTGCCTGTCACAACTGTCCGGAGGCTGAGCCGTTGCTAGGTTAAGCCTTCTAGAACTTCACTACTCAAAGTGTGGTCCATGAAACAGCAGCCCATTAGAAATGCAGAACCTAGGGCCCCACCCAGATCTCCCAAGTCAGAAGCTGCACTTCAACCACATCCCGGGAGATTCTCATTCATGGGTTGGCCAAGGAGCTCGGTCAGGTTTTTCCGTAACATCGGCCGAACAAACTCTTTGGCCAACCCAATACATTAAAGCTTGGGAAGCGCTGGCTTTCAGCCCTTAGACACCCCTTACCAGCTGTGCACGCCGCCACACAGTGATCTGATCGCCTCTCACCCCCTCACTTCACCAGCGCGCTCAGAACCATCTGGCTACCTCACACAAGGTCTGCAACTCTGAGCCGAGGAGGGGAATATGAAAACACAGATCCCTGCAATCGGAGTTAGCTGCATAATTTGCAGGGCCCGATGCAAGGTGAAAATGCAAGGCCCCGGCCAGGGTGGGGGAAGTCAGTCTCCCCTTCCCACTCGCCACGGCCTCCACCCATCGTGGGCAGGCCACCCACGACTTCAACCGCCAACTCCCCTAACCTCTGCGCCATGATGCACTCAGTACCTAGATTCAGGTGGGCAAGGGACCCTTGCCAAGTCACCCACCTAATGCACCAGGCAGTATCAGCCCAGGCAGGACAGTTGTCTCCTCGCCCTGCCCTGTGACACCACAGGTATGCACAAGACCCACCTTCTCTGTACCTACACCAGGTCCTGCAGAGGGCGGAGGCGGACAGTGAGATGTGTCTGCTGGGCTGACTTGACCCGTTGTCACACAGACAGAGGGTTGCAGAGGCCTGGGTCCCAGGATGCCGGGGTATAAGGAATAGGCAGGGAGACAGGAACACGCATGAGCTGAGGCTCCAAGCCCCTGGGATGTGCCCCATGGTCCCATCAGACTCACTCACAAAACGCAAATTCAAAGAGAAGATTCTTAAGAATTTCAATACAGCAACTGCTGTCTATCACCTTTGCAAGAACCAATTGTTACGTTTTCAAGAATTTTGCAAGCTAGTTATTCAACCTTTGGTAGCTTCAAATGGGCTGAGGTAGGAATGCCCACACCATGGAAACTGGCAGGTGCTACCAGTCAGAGGTTTTCTTTCAGAGAGCTGGTCATTAAGCATTTACCGATATCCCATTGTCTACATCTTTTTTCCTAATGTGCAGGACCTGGTGCAAAATAAAAATGCAGGGCCCTTAAGAGTCTCAAAGCAGCACAGCAGAGCTTTAAAGCAAGCGTTGGTCCCTTCTAAGCCTCGAGCCCTGCATGGGTCACACATCCAGGAATCCAGCCCTGTTTCTACTCCCAACCCTGTAGCCCCCACCCCTAGCCCTGGAAGTGACAGGAGATCACATCCAAACAAAAGTCTGCAGAAAGCTTTACCAGGCGAGACTATCCACCTCTATCTTAGTCTCTTTTCTCCCATCTAAACAGCCCTATTAGGCTTCATCTTTCATGACCCAAAGGCTCTAAGGACCATCTAAAACAAAGGGAATGCCTACCTCTGAGGAGAATCATCCCCCCGCCCCACCTCTAGAATGCTCAGTTTGGACCATTTCATTGTTTTGTTGGTTGGTTGGTTGGGGGTTTTTTGGCCACTTTGTGCGGCTTGCAGGATCTTAGTTCCCCAGCCAAGGACGGAACCAGCGACCCCTGCAGTGGAAGTGCGGAGTCCTAACCACTGGACCGCCAGGGAATTCCCCCATTTCATTGTTTTAATAGCTGTTTTCCTCCCATTTATGATGGGAAGTAAATTTGGAGAGTGAAGACAGGCCCTAAAGGGCAAAATAGGAGTTTAGAGGTAGTCGTAATATTTTATTGGCTTGGAAGCACTCAGGACGCTGGGCGGCTGACACTGGAAGAAATAGAAAAGATCTTTAGTTCAGGGTTTAAATAAAAATTTAGGGCTTCCCTGGTGGCGCAGGGGTTAAGAATCCGCCTGCCGATGCAGGGGGCACGGGTTTGAGCCCTGGTCTGGGAAGATCCCACATGTCGTGGAGCAGCTAAGTCTGTGTGCCGCAACTACTGAACCTGCGCTCTAGAGCCTGTGCTCTGCAATGAGAGAAGCCACCGCGATGAGAAGCCCGCACACTGCAACAAAGAGTAGCCCCCTCTAGCCACAACTAGAGAAAGCCCACGTGCAGCAACAGTGACCCAACACAGCCAAAAAGAAATTAAATAAATAAATGAAAGAACTAAAAACATTGAAAAAAAAATTTAGCCATGGGATCGGTCTTGCAAACAAACTTCAACATGGTACCCCATTTCATAAACTAGGTCAATGAGGGGACTACTCTGGGAGAAGTAAGAAAATACGGCCGTGACCCCTCCCATGCAGCCCCTCCCCAGGCCCCCTCTCCAGGGCCCACCCTGCATGCCTTGAGTCCCGCTTCCCATCTCCCCCTTACCATCCTCGCCCCCGCCACCCTGGCACACAACACCCTGTCATACCTGTGCCTTTGTTCACACACCCCCTCTCAAATTCCCTCCATCCTGTAGCCCACCTGTTGGGCTTTTTGTCCTTCAAAACTCCTTCCAGGTAGCCCTTGCCGCTTTCATGGTGAGACCTTCCCATTGCAGTAGGTACATACCTCGCTTCTGGCCTCTCCTTGTCCGATTATAAATTGCCTCTCTGGGGGTCTGACCCCCTTCTGAGGCTGGAAGCTCCTCCCGGGAAGGGATCTGACTCATCCACCTTACCCAGTGGCGAGCTGTGTCTCACCAGTACCCAACCCAAAGACTGCATCAGGATCCGCTGGCGGTGTTGGCACAAAGGTAGACAGTGTCTCACCAATACCCAACCCAAAGACTGCATCAGGTTCTGGTGGCGGTGTTGGCACAAAGGCAGACAGAGATGGGCACCCACTGGGCTTGGAGGAGACCAGAAGAGATCAAGAAGGAGGGAGAAAGAACTGAGCTGCATGGCAAGAGCTACAGAGACCTGCAGGAAAAGCAAGAGCTACAGAGATCATTAGTAAAACCTTGGAGGTTAACAAAAAGGAAAGAACCTTGATTAATTCCACTGTCAATGACTGCACTGACGAAATGCATTCTGGATGAAAGACACTGTCTCCAGAGGGGGAAGTAGGATGGGGCAGAAGCCCATGCGCTATGCCTCAAAGGGGTGTGGCAAGCAGGGTTTTCCTCTGATGGGTCAAGGAGGCCACACCATGGGTGGCCAATGGGCGGGGGCCAGCAGAGACACCAGGCTTTGAGCCAGGTCAGACAGCTGGAGCTGGACTCTAGCTGGCAAGTTGGGTGTGAGCCAAAGTCCCCACTCTGTATGGCCTTCATTGACAGGGGTCAGCTGAGCAGACCCTGAACGTCCAGCAAGCAAACCAGGGTCCAAGGCAAATCCATCTCCAGAAGAGACCTGCCAGGGTAAGAGAAAGGCTGCCTCCGTGAGCTCACCTGACACTGGCTCCTGGCAGGGATGGGCTGTAGCCCAAGACTTCTGCAGGGTCCCCAGGCTCACAACCCTCTAGAGCTTTGCCCACCAAGCCTGATCCTTAAACAAAGACTCCAAGGCTGCTGGCACTGCCTGTGCACATAGCATAGTACCTGACCTAATTGCATCTATTTTTTGCCCTGGTCCCTGCTGAGTAGATGTCCTGGAATGCCTCTCTCTGAGACAAGCGCCAGTTTTAAATACAGACCACACACACACACACACACACACACACACACTGCCATCCAAAAGAAAAAAAAGGTTTCCGTGTGCAAATCTCAAAACTGGCAAAGAAAGCAGACTGGCAAGGAGGTGACAACATCAGACCAAAGGTGAGCATCGACTGAGCATCCTTGCATCTCTGAGCTCTCCAGTAGTCTGCCTCTGTGTGTGTGTGTGCGCGCGCGCACGCTTGTTCCTTAGGCCTTTAGAATACAGATCAAAGAATCAGCCTTTATTTTAATGTGCAGATGTTCCCAGAGAATGGAAAGAAAAGGTGGGGGGGAGAGAAAAAAGAAAAGCCCATGTCGGTGCTGAATATTTCTCAGATATTTTCAGCCGCTCTCCAAGCACAGGCCAGGGTAATTTTAGCAACCCGCAAGTGGAGAGCGGGTAACTGTTCCATCTTGCTTTCAAAGTGCTCAATTCGCTCAATTGTGAGAGCCCATTCATTCTGCACTTCAGCAAGTGGCCTTGAGGGGACAAAGCCATGTGCTCTGAAGAGGATCGAGGGGCTCTGGCTTTGTGGCAGTGTTTGTGGATTCCCCTGAGCTGCTATCTTTAGTCGTGTGGGGCTTGATGACTGCAGTGTTTTCCTGTGGTTGAGGTTTTTGTTGCTGCTGCTTTTCTGATCCTTTTGAAAAAAAATTTTTTTAATGAAACCTCTTTTATTATTTTTTATTTATTTATTTTTTTGCCGAGCTATGCAGCACGTGGGATCTTAGTTCCCTGACCAGGGATGGAACTCATACCCCCTGAAATGGAAGCGTGGAGTCCCAACCACTGGACTCCCAGCCAGGGAGGTCCCTGCTCTGATCCTTCTTTAACTTACTTACTTATGTAGCCAACAAATGTACGTTGAGTGCCAGCCGAATGCTAAGCACCGGGAGCCCAGGAATGAATGAAACGGGGTGGTCCTTCGCCCACAGAGCTCACAGCCGCGATGGAATAAATCAGCATTGCCTGCATTTTCCCGGGAAAGTCCGCAAGCCGTGGGAGCCTTGGTGGAGGACCCCCAGCAGACTTGCGGACTCGGGGGTGGCAGGAAGGAACCCACCCAGGGGCTACACCACAGGCCCGTCCACCTGAGCAGTGCCAGAGGCTCCGGCCACAGTATGGCTAAAGGCACCCCTTCTCCTGGTCACCACCCCGTTGGTTTTGTTCTTGCAGCTGGGCCGACCTCTCTGATCCCGAAATATGGCAAATGGAGATTCTTAGATCAGCCCAAACGTTTGTTTCCAGGGCTGTTCCATTTTTCTAGGCCAGCAGTTTCCAGGTTGTGCTCCAAAGAGGGTTCCAAGTCAGAGAAGTGCTTCAGGGTTGTCCCAGGACGGGACAGCCAAGCCAGCAGTGCTTTCATCTGAAGTCCTGCTGGGGCTCCAGGGCGGTTTTGTTTGAAAAAAATAATGGGACTACCCAAGTGCCCATCGACAGATGAATGGATGGCAACATGGGGTCTGTACATACAATGCCTTAAAGAGGAAGGAAAGTCTGACACATGCTGTGACATGGGTGAACCTTGAGGATGTTATGCTGGTGAAATAAGCCAGCCACAGAAAGACAAATACTGTCTGATTCCACTTAGGCGAGGTCCCTAGAGAAATCAAATTCATAGAGACAGAAAGTAGAAGGGCGGGTGCCAGGGGCTGAGGGAGGAGGGATGGGGAGTTAGTGTGTTTTGTTTTGTTTAGGCTGCACTGTGTGGCATGCGGGATCTTAGTTCCCTGACCAGGGATCAGACCCACACCCCCTCCAGTGGAAACGCAGAGCCTTAACCGCTGGACCGCCAGAGAAGTCATTAAACTCATTATTAAACTCATTAAACTCATTATTGTTTAATGAGTACAGAGCTCGGGAAGTTGAGAAAGTTCCGGAGACGGATGGTGGTGATGGTGCAATGTGAATGTACTTGATGCCACTGAACTGTGCACTTAAAATTGGTTAAAATGGTAAATTTTATGTTATATATATTTTACCACAGTAAAAATTCGAAAGTAAAGGGACTGATGGTTTAGGGAATAAGGAAGAGAATCACAGATTTGGACCAAAGCTCCCAGATTACAGATGGGTTGCCTGCAGCCCAGAGAGTGCCTCGCCCAGGGTCACTCGGAGTCAGAGCCCAGCTGCCCTGGACCCAGGTGGACAGGGTCCCGGTCCAGTGCTCACTCACCGACGTCTGGCTCGAAACCTCCCACAGAGCAAAGGACACGAGCTGCAGTACCACTGGTCCTTGGGGAGCACGTGGCAGGGCGCTCACTCACCACACCACGGCCTGGTGGCAGCCAGAGGGGTGGGGCTTCCACCAGCTGGTGCCGCTCGGCCCCTGCAGCTGACCTGTGTTTCCATTGCAGATCGCATCCCTGCTCAAGGACAATGAGCGCATCCAGTCCACCCAGACTGTCACACCCAACGACGAAGACAGTGACATCAAGAAAATCAAGAAGGTCTGTACCATCTCTCGGGGCTGGCAAATCTGCCCTGGTCCTCTTTAGAGAGCCCCCTGGCACAGCCCAGGGTCTGCAGTGTCCACCTACTGTCCCACTGCTCCCGGGCGTGCCACTCCCACCTCCGCTCCAAAGGCAGAATCAACAGCCCCTCACCCCAGACCAGCACCTCGTTGAGCCATGTTTTCTGGTTGTCTCTGTGAGGTAGGGTGGTTCAGCCCATTTGACAGATAGGAGAACTAAGGCTCCAAGAGATGGAAGAGTAGATAGAGCCAGGGCAGGAACCCAGGCTGTGAGACTCACAGCCGAGAGCTTTCCTCACAACCCTGGGCAGCCTCAATGAGACCCCAGGCCACATGTCCACTGTCACAGCCCTGCATGCCCGCCCTCCCCCCAGCTACTGTCCTGCAAACACCTCCTCCTTTCATCCCCGGCAGACGTCAGCGTGGGAGCCGGCCTCTGTGACACCCCTTAGCTGGCCCCACTGGTTTTACACTATTAGAGGCTAGGAGAAACATCTCAGAAGGTATGAGAAAACTGCCCGGTGGCAGAGATACTGACCAGCACCATAGGCCACCCCATGGAGGGGCGTGTGGAGAGGAAGAGTATGGTCTGTGTTTGCAGCTTGCCAGACTTGAAGCAGGGGAGCCTGACTCACCGTAAGAAAAACACACGAAACCAGAAAATCCTCCTTGTTGAGAGCGTAAAAGGACACCAGCGCCATCCAGACCAGAAAACTGCAAACTGGCATCCCACAGGCCAAGTTCAGCCTACCAGCATGTTTGGGGTTCTTAGCCCACACGGTGTTTCTTTTTTCCCTTTTTAATTTGTTGCCAGTGCTTTAAAAGCTAAACATTTCACATAAAAATATGTATTTCTGGTTTCTCAAAAATAGGAAGAGCTAACATTCATTACGCACTTTCCATGTGCCAGACACTATTCTAGGAGATTTATGCAGATGAATCTGTTCCTAACTAAAAGCCCTCTGAGGTTTTATTATTATCTGCGTTTCACATGTGGGGTTGCTGAGGCACAGAAAGGCAAAGTGACTTCCCCAGGTCACACAGCTAAGTATTTGCAGAGTCACATTTAAACCTTGGCCACCAAGCTCCAGAGCCCACATCCTTGGTCACTGGGACACATGATCTCTTGGAAAAGCAGAAGGTCTCGCAGCCCTGGGCCCACCTCCTGCACACAGTGACTGCTGGCCCCAGGCCAGGTGCTCTCCCATTAGTGCCCACCCAGCCGGCTTCAGGATCTATAGGACCTGCCAGGCCCCCATGGACATTGGGATTTGCCACCAGTGCCACCTGGGGTCTGAACCAAGCCCCGCCCAGGCAGGGATGCACTGGCCTTCCTTCTCTGCCATGGCCCCACTGGGCTTCGCGGCCCGTTTTGCAAAGCCATTCTGGTTGGAACATTTTTTTAAGTACCACCTGAAATGCACCTCCCTCCTTTTGTTTTCACCCTCCTGGGGCCTCAGAGCAAGCCCTTCTTTATCTAGAAAAGCTTCTTCTCTTCAAGGAGATCTGTCGTGCTGAGGCCAGGCCTCTCCTCCCCAGGGCAGACGTCCCTGGCCAAAGGTCTGCACCCGGACAGTTGCACCTGCTGTGCACTGTGCATGGCCAGTGCCCTTTGCAGCTGATAATATTTTGATGAGTGCCTTGGCAGGATCTCCAGGTGCCCCCACCCCAGCACCACCCAGCACCCTTGCTCCTGGGCCCTGGGGCCCTCCCTGTGCAGCCCCTGAGCTTGCACACAGCTCAGCAGGAATGGTGGGGAGCTACATGGTGCCTTGGTTGGAAGCGTGCATATCTTAAAACAGTTCTCTGTGTCTGTGAATCGAGGCCCTTCCCAAGTTCTTGCCAGAACGAGGCCAGGCCAAGCAGCCCGACTCCAAGTCGGGCAAGTCAAGTGTCTGTGTTCATTTCCCCGCGGAGGTAGAGGAGAGGCTCCAGGCGGGCGCCAATGAGGCCCAAGCATGAGATTAACTAATTTGCCGCACTGAATTTGATAATCGCCCTCTATCCAGACGAGCTTTCATTGAAACTTCTGGGCTTTCAGGCCAGTCATTAGGCAAGAAGAGGTGTGAGCCATGCCCAGCACAGCCTGGCAACCCTCTATGCTCAAGCCCCCTCCCGTGATGGGGACTCAGGGCCACACTTTTCCTCCTTCGGAGGATGTTGCCAAAGCAATCTGGGGGATGTGGTTTAAATGCAGAGGGCCGGGGCAGGGCCTGGGGGTTTGCATTTCTAACAAGTTCTGGGGAGTTGCTGATGCTCCCGTGCAGGGACCTCACTTTGAGTCCAGCCGTCATCTCATTAGCCCCATGGCACAGATGGGAAACGGGCTTAGAGGAACCAAAGGGCTTCCCCAGCACCACGCAGGCAGAAGCACCAGGCCTGATCTTTTGCCTCAGCTCTTTTCCCTACGTGCCCGGCGTGGGGGACAGCAGGGCCTTGGCCCCTGCCCTTGGGGCGCTCACAGCCTGGAAGGACCAGAGCAGCTGAGGCTAACGGGAGACCCTCCCGCTGGTCTCGGCGCCCAGGTGCAGAGCTTCCTGCGGGGCTGGCTGTGCCGGCGCAAGTGGAAGACCATCATCCAGGACTACATCCGGTCACCGCACGCCGACAGCATGCGGAAGAGGAACCAGGTGGTGTTCAGCATGCTGGAGGCCGAGGCCGAGTACGTGCAGCAGCTGCACATCCTTGTCAACAACTTCCTGCGCCCACTGCGGATGGCCGCCAGCTCCAAGAAGCCTCCCATCACGCACGACGATGTCAGCAGCATCTTCCTGAACAGGTGAGCACCCTGAAGCTCAGCGCCCCCTCCCGGAGCCCTTGGCTGAGGCGGGAAGAGGGAGCCTAGCCGGCACTGAGCTTGGACGCGAGCCCTTGACTAGTCCCCGCCAAATGCAGAGGAGGAAACTGAGGCCCAGAGAGGAAGGAAGCTGCCCGAGGTCCCATGACGAGAAGCCAGTGCCCCAGCTACTGCAGGCAGGAATACAAACAGAGGCCCACGTAGTATATGTCTAAACTAGTGGTTCAACTGGGGTAAGGCTGGGAGACCTTTTTTTTTTTTTAATTTATTTTTTGCTTCAGAAGTATCAAGTAGGATCAATGGCTGGCAATCCCTGGGAGGCAATTTTTTTTAATTTAATTTTATTTATTTTTTTATACAGCAGGTTTTTATTAGTTATCCATTTTATACATATTAGTGTATATACGGGAGACATTTTTGATTGTCAAAACTTGGCGGGGCTGCAGGGGAGGGTTTGCAACTGGCATCTGGTGGGCAGAAGTCAGGGATGCTGCTGAACATCCCACCGTGCACAGAGCAGTCTCCCACAGCAGGGAATTCTTCCACCAAAAATAATCGTGCCAAGGTTGAGAAACCCTGGTTTAAATGTTTGCAAGTTATAAATCAAGCTACAGAAAACCACATGGGTTCCATTCTTCTACCTTAATATCATCGTCATAACGATCTAGAAGCCAGGTCTAAATTTTTAGAATTCTGAGTCCCCTTAGCGTTGGGCTGTGTATCACACTACCCACATATCTTACGAAAGCAAGGCTGAGCTGATGGCTGCCCTTCTGCTGTCAACCTCTTTTTAAAAGTCTTAGGAAATGGTTTAAATGAGCTTTTTGGTAGGCATGAAAATTGGGTAAACTAGGTAAAAGCAACAAACATGAAAACCTATCAACAGAGTGCTATTTACAAATGATTCTCATTCAGGAATTAAAGTAAAGCACTATGTGCTCCAGGTTGTTCATTCAGCTGCATTTCTTTTAAAGTATCCATCATTCCAGTCATTTCACTAATTGCAGCTGGCCCTCATCCACGCCCTCTGCAGAGGTGTTTGGGACCCAGGGTCACCTCCCCTGTGCCCTGCTCTTCCCCTTTACCTGCCAGTGTGCTGTGACGAGTTTAGGGACCTGTGGGACACCCGGAAGGAGATGGGGTAGAGGCAGTGGACGTGGGTCTGATTCTGAGAGGTTGAGCCGGAGATGCTGAAAGTCACTGGGAGAAGGACAAGGACAGGGACATTGGGATGCTGACCCAATGGATGTGGATGAGGTGTCGGAGTATGGGGACATGGTGGGGGTGGGGAGCAGGGGGAGGGGAGTGGCTTTTAGCCTCATTAGACCTTCTAGAAACTGAATCACTGGGCCTTACAAGGTTGCTTTTTTTTTTTTTTTTTTTTGCGGTACGCGGGCCTCTCACTGTTGTGGCCTCTCCCGTTGCGGAGCACAGGCTCCGGACGCACAGGCTCAGCGGCCATGGCCCACGGGCCCAGCCGCTCCGCGGCATGTGGGATCTTCCCGGACTGGGGCACGAACCCGTGTCCCCTGCATCGGCAGGCGGACTCTCAACCACTGCGCCAGCAGGGAAGCCCAAGGTTGCTTTTTAATATACATTTCAAACGCAGTTTTTAGAGAGTAAATAAATGCTTTGATTTCTTTATTAAAACAAAGAAACTAGGTATTATTGTTTTGTGAAGTCAGGTAAGATTTTCTCCAGAAACTACAGTTGGGTTTTTTAAACTCAATGACCTGGAATTTGGCTGAAAAGTGTGAAGAACTTGTTTCTTCCTGAATAAACTCCAGACAGCTCAGCTGGAGTCACAGCTTCTCAAACGTGAACGCTGGGCCTCACCCCGAGCTTCTCAATCTGTAGATCTGGAGTAGAGCATAGGGATTGCATTTCCAACAAGTGTGTAGGTGCAGCTGCTACTGCAGGTCCCAGAGCACACGGAAATGAGAGGCTTGAGATAACCGCAGGGGACTGCCTGTATTGGAGGCTCAGCCACGGACCTACCTGAGAAATACTTCAGGAAGCATTGTAATAGTTCTAGGTTGTCTGTGCTTTCCTTGCATTTTAGGCCACAGTTGCAAACTTTTGGTGACCGTTTATCATAACCACTAAGAGAGAAAGGTGCCCTTTTGTATTTATTTAATCTTTGCATAATTTTGTTACACTGCATTCAATGGAATCCTTTTCACCTGTAATCTTTGGTTAAGAGTATTCATACCAACTCACAGAATGTGTTCAAAAGTTGTTTGAAGAAAATCACAACATGGTTTTATATTTTTGTCTGTTAGTCACTGCATGGATCAGACCAGATGCCTTTAACAGAATAAACAGGAGGGAAGAAAGTCCCCTCTTTTGCTGGTGTCCTTCTAAGCCCCTGCAAGCCCTGTTTCTCCTTTTCCACAATGTGCCCAAGGTTGACTCTTTCCCATCTTAGCAGTCTCATTGATCCTGGTCAAAATAGCCCCAGCCTGATCAATCTTTAAGGCCTCCAGAATATGGACTCTAGCGGTCCTCGGAAACACTGACCAGGGAATGGGACCTGCCTCTTGTAGGTGTTGGAGAATCAAATGAGAGCTCACGTAAAGCATCTAGTACAGAGCCCAGCATAGCCCAAGTGCTCATAAGAGCTAGACATTAGTACAACAGGAAAGCTTCACTATGATGCACCCTGTGAGAAACTGAATTCAAATCTAATGTGGAGGGAGCACTTCTCAACTCAGTCTGTGAGGCCAGCATTACTCTAATACCGAAATCAGAAAAAGGCATTATGAGGAAAGAACACTACAGACCCATATTGCTCATGATCATAGATGCAAAATATTATAAAATCGAATCCAGAAATATATAAAAAGGATAATACATCATGACCAAGTGGAATTTATCCCAGGAATGCAAGGTTGGTTCAACATTGAAAATTAATCAAATGTTTTACTGTATTTTCTTACAATATTAAGTAAGAAGAACCAATGATCCTATCAATGGATGCCAATCTGAGGTGACTGGCTTCTCTCCACGCCCTGGCCCCTGTTCTCCATCGGGAGCAGGTCGGAATTCTTTCCTTCCCCCGGGGCCCAGGGTGGGGCAGGAAGAGCTAGAAAACGACTGCCTTCTAATCATTCACCCCTCACTATATGATCCACTGGGTACCTAAGAGTATAAGCTTCACTGTCTTAACCTCTGTGCTTTTTGTGAGCACAAAGAACGGCTGAAATTTTTTTTTCATTAACTGTATAGCAACCCTGCACAGCACTTTGCGTGACTGAATGTTTTGGACTACACTCACCACGTTAAGATGGTGTTTTGTGGGGCCGGCTTGGTGCCAGGCTCTCTGTAAGCACTTGGCCTACATAATTTCCAATCCTCAGAGACGCCCCATGAGGCTGGCACCAGAGATCAGAGAGGTGACGGGGTGTGCTCAGGGTTCGGGTGGGCTGTGATTTTAACCCAGTTCTGTTTTATGTGAAGGCCTGTGCTTCCCCCCTGCTGCCCTGTTAAATAATAGTCTGGAATCTTCACCGACCCCCATCCTCCTTACCCCCCTGCCAGCTCATCACAGCCCAGGTCTCAGCACGTACTCCTGCCCACGCCTGCACTGTCGAGAACTTTCGATTGTATGTGAGCCTAGCCTTCCCTCTTACCGTGTAGGTGCTGTGGAGGCCGGATCCGGGACATGAACCGTCCAGGTCTCCCTGCCTCGGACCACAGCACAGAGTCTGTATGTGTCACAGGTCAAGGGCGGAGGCTGCCAGCCCACTCACTAGAAGGCATTTCTGCACATAGCTTTCCCCTGGATTTGCATTTAGGCTGAAATGTACAGCCACATTAGACACCTGATGCCAATTTGGTGATTTCATTTGCTGGAGTTCTTTAAAAGAAGTCCTTGAGAAGAGAGAGGCCTCTCTCCAGGTTGGCAGATTCACGGAGGATGCTGCAGAGCTGGGGAGGGGCTTAACTGTGTGCTTCTTGAATGCTGCGGGGGGAATCTTTGAAGTAAACATGTGCACCAGGTTATGTTTAACTGAAACAATGAGCATATACTCTTGGGCTATTTCCCTTTAATAAAAACCATGCCCAGCAACGTGTGCTTGGAGCCACAGGCATTGCCCCATGATGAGAGGCATCCCGCCTGGGGGACAGATGGTTCCTATCTTGATGCCCGCTCTGATTGATTGGCAGTGGTTGCCTGGAGTCCTGGGTGGAGAAGAATGATGAGGCTCAGTGGGGGCGTGTGCTGCCATCAATTCGTCTTGTCTGCATGGCCTGGGGAGTGAGGAGGGACAGGCACAGGGTGAGGCTGGAGTGAAGAGGCCTGGTTCTGCCCTCCACGGGCCAAGCCCTGTGTACCTAGGACCAGCCTTGGGCAAGTCACACTCCTTTCTGGGCTCAAGAAGGGAACCAGGCAAAATGAGCACTTCCCGAAGCAGACAAGTCACTTCCTCTCCCTAGAATTCTTCCCACCCTACTGTCGTTCCTATTTTCCTCATGACAGCTGTCTCCTACTCTTTTTTCATGTCTTTCCTTGGATGTCCCTGACCACCCCCGTGCCCCTTGTCACCGTTGGCTTATATGTTCCCTTGTTGTGTGCTTCCAGGGCCCCCATGCTGCCCCTTTTGTAGCATTCATTGTGCTTAAATAATGATTTCTTCTGTGTAGAGATTCCCTGCTGGACTGTCAAGTGTGCAGGGCCATAGAGTATAGTTGCCCCGGCTGTGCACTGCACAACTCAGGGACAACATTCACATAGACTAGGGATCAGCAAACTTCTCTGTCAAGGGTCAGATAGTAAATATTTTAGGCCTTGTGGGCCAGAGGGTCTCTGTCAAAACTAGGTGGTCTTAGGCAATCCTAAATGAATGGGTGTTGCTGTGTTCCAATAAACCTTGACTTATGGACACTAAAATGTGAATTTCATCTAATTTTTACTTATCGTAAAATATTCTTTGGATTTTTTTTCCACCGTTTAACATTATAAAAAGTCCTTCTAAGCTTACAGGCTGTACAGAAACAGAAAGTGGGCCAGTATTCTATATGGCAAGATTCCATGTCGTAAAGACGTCATTTCAGCCAAATCATGCTATACACTCAATATAATTCCAATCGAAGTACAGCCTAGCAGAGTGATTTTAATGTTCAACTGAAGGAGTAAAATGCATGTAAATAGATCATAATGTTCTGAAAAAAACAATGAAAGAAACATTTCCTACATTAATTAAAATGTATTAGAGGCCTATAAATACATTAAAAGTAACGAAAACAGCGTGAGACTATTGCCAGAACAGGCCAATAGTCCATCAGAATAAAATACAAAGTCCAGAAACAGACGTAGGCATGTATGAGAATTTAGTAACAAAACAGGCAGCTTAGCAAAGCAGTGAAAGCAGCTGTAGTATCTGATAAATAAAATGGGGCAGTTGGCTACAAACTGAAAGAAAGATTGACGTTCACATCCCTTACTCACATCCGACACCAAAGTAAACCCTAGGTAAGTATTTATGTGTAAAAATGAAATAGTAAAATAAAATATAGGTGAGTGTGCATGCAGTCTAAGAGTGGGGAAAGACATGATGCCTGAAACAAAAACACAGAAAGAAAATCTCACAGGGCAAAATGGAAAACCTTCAAAAAACACCAAACACAAATAGCTGAGCAGAAAAGTATCCGCAGTGTGTATGTTAAGATTATACGCTTAATATGGGGAGTTATTTTACATTAATAAAAGTGAAAATAGTAAATGGACATGACTCGGCAGTTCCCCAAAGAAGAAATTCAAATGGCCAATACAAAGGGAAAATGTTCAACCAACCCACTCACAATGATTTTGTAGAGCAAAGCGAATCCAAATGAGATCATCTTTCTCTTATCAGATAGGTAACAATGGTAGTTTCTGAGTAGTAGAATGACAAGTGAAATCCTCACAGTTTATAGTACCTTAAAAACAGAGGCTTCATCTATTATATTTTTATAGTCCCAGCTTATGATGTTCCTAACGTGCTACGCTACAAGTCCATGCTGTGAATCCTGCACAGTGCATCCTGCAGCCGTCTGTGGGAGCCGTCCGGGAATGGGGCGGTGCTCGGGGGCATCCAGAGCCTCTCAGCTCCCCAGGAACCCCTGAAAGTCCTCCTACCTCCACCCTGCCCCGCATCAGGGCCCACGGTCTCCCTTCTGTGCACTTACGCGCACCCCTGGACTGGTCTCTTTTGAATTTTTCTAAGGGTCTTCCCATGTGGACGACTGAAGTTCTTCACGTTGGTACAGTACATGTTTATCTATTCAGTAACTAGTTCAGGGGCCACAGACAGGAAGAAACCAGCCCTGTCAAGGGTGAATCTGTCACAGACTTGTTACCTGAAAACTGCAAATGACTTCAGCCATCAGGCGGGGCCCCTAGTCCAGAAATCACGGTGTCACCACACCTGGGCGGGCCTGTTCTTTTGGGACTTTAGGGAGATGACAGTTAATTCACGGTAATGAGAGGAGCCACTCTCAGGAATGAGAACTCGGGAGTGTTTCTGCTACTTAGATACTTGTTAAAGGCCCTACCGGTTCCAGCCCTTCTGCACATCCTGCGGGTGTGATGGAGTTACAGGCTCTGCTCTTCAGCCGTAGGTGCCGTGTTCTGTTCTCTCTCCCCACCACCACCTCTCACCTCCCTCACCCCTTTCTCTCTTGCAGCCCTCCCTTCTATTCTTTTTCACACCCTTTTTCTCCCCACCCACCCTGTTTTCTCTGCAGAGTGGGGTGCTCAGGGCATTTCAAACTCCTCTGGGGTCAGGGAGCCCCGTGCCTCCCAGGCCCACCGTGAACATGAGGTCCCAGGCCCCCATTGGCTTCCTGTGTCTCACAGCTCAGGGGCGTCTCTGCGCCCACCCAGCGCCTTCCACTCCCTGCCCTTGTCCTGAGAGTGTGAGACCCCAGGATGGGGGTTTGCCTTCAGGACACAAACTCCTGGGAGAGGGGGCAGCACCCAATGACAGAGCCAGTGGGGAATTGAGGGGGCCAGGGAAGCCAGCAGCCGCAGTGCCCCCTCCTTGGCCGGCTTCACGGGCATTTGACGGCATGCTTAGAAAAACCGTGCTTAATTTGAGGCTCTGCTGTCACCATCCTGAAATTCCTAATCATTGGTTAACAAGGGGCCGGCGTGTTTGTTTTGCGTTAGGCCCCGTAGACTGTAGGGTCCACCCCACTGATGGGGTTTCTCGTGGGGTCTCACCTGAGAAGGTTTGCTGCTATAGTCCCACAGGCAGTGACAGCCCCTGCCCTCTCCCCTGGGGCCCCTCAGCTCTACTGAACTTTGGGGGAGGGGACACCTGGAAGGAGAGGAACTCCTGGCCGGAGCTTACCCTGTGCTTTCTCTTCCAGCGAGACCATCATGTTTTTGCACCAGATCTTTTACCAAGGCCTGAAGGCCCGCATCTCCAGCTGGCCCACTCTGGTCCTCGGTGAGTAGCAGCCCTGGCAGAGGTCTCCTGCCCCTCCGCCCCCATCCCCACCTGAGAAGTCCCTGTGCAGGGGCCACACCTCCTGGCTGGTGGCACTTTTGTCCTTCCCGAATGTAACAGAGTGGCCCCTTAAAAACTCACAGAATCCCTCAGAGGGAGCAGAAGAGGAAAGAGAAGTTGGCAAAAGCTACATTTCTAGGAGGAAGTGATATATTTTTGGTTTCTTATCTGCTTTTCCCTTTTAAAAATAATATATAGGTACCCATCTGAGAAAATCTGAGAATCCAGAAAAGTAGGAAACATTTAAAAATATCAACGTTTCTGCTTCCCAAAGATAACTACTGTAAACACTCCGGTGTGTTTCCTTCCAATTTTTTTTCCTATGCATAGATCTTGGGGTTGTTTTTTTTTTTTTTCCCTTTTACATAATTGCAAACATACTGAATATAGAATTTAAATCTTGCTGTGGGTTTTTCTTTTTTTTTTACTTAACATAATTGCATAAGTGTTTTCTCAAGCTGAAAGTATGCTTTTTGATGGCTGTATAATGTTCCAGTGCCCCGTGAATCTGCCACCATCTATGTAGCCATCTCCCTTCGTCGACTCTTAAAGTTGTTCTACCTTTTTGCTACTAAAAATAATCATCCCTGCATGTGAAGTTGTCTCCGTATTAGAGAGCATTCCCCTGAGACAGGTGCCCAGAAGTAGAATTACTGAAACAATGGGGATGGACTCCCCGCCATGTACACATCATCACCTTGCTCTCCAAGCCCTCACTCCTGTGAGTGATGTACAGGAGTGCGTCCCACATCCCGCCCCTCCCACACTGGGTACCATCTTCCTTTCACTTAATTCAATAGGAAAAGGCGAGTGTTGGTGTCATTTCCACTCTGGGGTCGAGGGAACGGGCTCAGGGAGGTGAAAGGACAGCTGTGGCTGAAAAGGCTCCTCTGCCCACGGGCCAGGAGACTTCCAGGGGGAGTGGCACCATTTTTTTTTTCTCCGAGGTCAAAATAAGAAGCAGCCCTAGAAAGACACAGGCTGCACTTTCTGTAGTCTTACAGCTAAAGAGGTTGTCCACTGGGTAGTTGGATGCCCTACATAAGAGCTCCCACTTAGAGTTTGTTCCAAGGAACGCTTGTCTTTCTTTTTTTTTAATTTTATTTTATTGAAGTATGGTTGATTTACAATGCTGTGTTAATCTCTGCTGTATAGCAAAGTGATTCAGTTATACACGTATATACATTCTTTTTTTAATATTCTTTTCCATTACGGTTTATCATAGGATACTGACTATAGTTCTCTGTGCTATACAGTAGGACCTTGTTGTTTATCCGTTCTATATACAAAAGCTTACATCTGCTGGCCCCAACCTCCCCTTCATCCCTCCCCCACCTCCCCTCCCCCTTGGCAACCAGAATTCTGTTCTCTGTGTCTGTGAGTCTGTTTCTGTTTCGTAGATAAGTTCATTTGTGTCGTGTTTTAGATTCCACATATAAGTGATATCATATGGTATTTGTCTACTCTTTCTGACTTACTTCACTTTGTATGATCATTTCTAGTTGCACTGTCTTTTTTTTTAATGGGGTTAGTAAGCAGAGGTTTTAGAGGGTCCATCCCATCCCATCAAGTGTTGAAAGGCAGGTTTGGGCTTTGGGGAGCTAGAAGGACAGGATGTTAGATACCCAGGAGGTTGAGACAGACGGGGGGTTGAGCAGGGGGTCCACCTCACTGAGCCAGGGGCTGCAGAGCTGGGGAGGTCTGGAAGGACAGGGACAGAGGGACAAAGGGGACAACAGGTGAAGGGACAGAGACTCAGGAAAGCATATCATGGGGTGGAAAGTGCTGGAATGGGGGAGTTGGAAAGCCTGGTTCCAGGCCAGGTCCTGACTCACCTCGTGACCTCTGACAGGTCACAGTCACAGGTGGGACACTCTGGGAGGGGGGCCCCTGGGGACCCCTCAGCATAACAGCCTGGCAGAGCCAGGGCACTGGGGGGAGTGAACTACAAAGCATTTACAACAGGGGCCTCAGCCAACCCCAGGGAAGCTCGGGAACTGAGGTGGCCCTTCAGGGACGTCCTCCATCGAGGCAGGGGCCGGCCTTCACACCCTGACCTGGACCTGTCATTGGGCTCCAGCTTGTGCAAGGCAGCTTCCTTCAGCTGATAGCAGTTCCCAGCAAGGGCGAACCCAGCTGAGAGCCACCCGCACTGGTGGCAGCTGGGGAGCAAGTGCCTGGGTCCACCAGGGGTTCCGGGGGACACACCGCAGCACCCTCTATACCTCCTTTCTCTGACCTCCGGTACACAGGTGTCAGACTAGACAGGGCTCTATCTCAAAAACCTGTGAATCTGCTGTGATCTCAATGCCTGGGGCCACCCTGTCTGGCCTAGGAGAGGGCAGTGGTGCCAGAGTCATCTCCGATGACTCCGATGGGGCTTTGAGCCGCGCCCCGACCTCCCCGGGTGGGGCTGGGGGAGGGGGGAGCCGACGGCGCCCCCGCTGCCCGCTGAGTCCCGCCTCCTTCCAGCCGACCTGTTCGACATCCTGCTGCCCATGCTCAACATCTACCAGGAGTTCGTCCGCAACCACCAGTACAGCCTGCAGATCCTGGCGCACTGCAAGCAGAACCGCGACTTCGACAAGCTGCTGAAGCACTACGAGGCCAAGCCCGACTGCGAGGAGAGGACGCTGGAGACCTTCCTCACCTACCCCATGTTCCAGGTGGGCCCGCCCCGTCTGCCAGGGCGCATGCGCCGGGAGGGCTGCGGCTGACTGGGGGCCGGGGCGCGGAGTGCCGAGGGCCACGGCCGTGCAAACCCCCGGTGGCCTGGAGAACGAACGGGGATAGGACCCTCCGCCGACCCTGGCTGGGGGAGGCCGTGCAGAAAGTGAGGGGCAGCTCCTGGTCCTGAGTCCATCTCCAGGTCCTGCCTTCTGCGGGGCAGAACCTCAAGCTCTGGGCTCTCGTCCCAGACAAGACCCTGGAAGAGCCTCCAAGTTAAGAGAGTCTGGGATCAGAAGTGCAGTGGGTGTCCTTCCTCAGCCCCGCTCATGGGGGCCCTCGGAACTGAGAGCCCCCTTCTCTGCCCACCCTGCCCCCCCATCTGTCTACCCTGCTCTGTCTCTCCGTCTCTCTCTTGCTTCATCGCTGTATCTCTCTCCCTGCCTCTGTCTCTCTGGCCCTCTGGCCCTGTCCCCACCTCTCCCCACTGCAGATCCCCAGGTACATCCTGACGCTGCACGAGCTCCTGGCCCACACCCCTCACGAGCACGTGGAGCGCAACAGCCTGGACTACGCCAAGTCCAAACTGGAGGAGCTGTCCAGGTGAGCCCCGCTGGGGTCCCACACCGGTGGGCAGGCCCAGGCTGAGGGTGCCCCCACCCGGGGTTTGCCGAGCCCCAGATGGGAAAAGCTCGTGCTCCAGTTAGGATTCCGAGGTGGGGGCACCCACAGCTTGTCCCACCTGGAAGCCGGGTCCCCAGGAGCAGTCTGAGGGGTTTACAGCTCCAGCCCAGGTGGGCACCCAGTGAGGTGGGATGGAGGGTACGCTGTCCCTGGCACAGATGGGGTCCGAGGAAGGGCCCTGGGCACTTAGTGGGCCCATCTCCCAGCTCAGGGATCTGCCCAGGACTCGCAGGCACTCTCTGCCCATTTCCTCGGTTCTCCAGTGTCCATGTGTCAAAACCGGTGGCTTTAGGAGCCCCAGGTGTCCTGGGTGTTGGGCTTTCATGTGCCTCAGGCTCCGTTCAGCAGCAGGCAGTGTCCGTGGGGGGACAGGCCATGGTTGGGCCACCGTCAGAGGCCGCAGCCCCCCCTAGTCAGGGCCCTCCCCTGTCCTCCCTCACTCCCCGAAGCCCAAGGAATTCCTCGCTGCATGGGCAGGAGCTAAAGGACTGGAGGGAGGCACTGCCACAGCCCAGGCAACAGGGGACACGGCCACACCAGGGGGTGGCCGTGGAGGTGAGGACTCTGGAGTTTTCTGAAGGTGGAACCTCCAAGAGTTTCTGATGGATGAGAGGTGAGGAGAGAGAGAGAAAATGAGAGTCGAGGGTGATTCCAGAGTTTTCTGCCGAGCAGCCAGAAGGATGCATTGCCGTTGTGCAAGATGGAGAAGGAGCCAGAGGGGCAGGTTTGGAGGGAGGAGTCTTCCTCGCCGCGTTGGAGTTTTACTTGGGGGTGTCTTGGACCTGAGATGGACAACAGCGGTGGAAATGACAAAAAGGGAGTCGGTGTTTGAGTCTGGAGTTCAGGGAGCCAAGATATACCAGATCGTCAGCTCGGAGATGGTATTTAGAGTCACAAGGCTGGTGAGATCACCAAGGGAGTGAGTTTAGGTGGGAATGAGGTATGAACCAAGGGCTGAGCCTGGGGCCTCCACCGGTGCAGGCCAAGAGGTAAGGAGGGGCCTTGTGGTCAGAGATAGGCGGCCAGGAGCTGCAAAGGAGGATGGGTCTGCAGGGTGTGGGCTTCAGCCCTCAGCCCCACCCGGGGCCCTGCCGGCCATTCAGAGCCCTAAAAGGCTGCCCAAGTCCAACGAGTGGCAGCCGGTGAGGCCGTGGCTCCTGGCTGGACAGAGGGAGGACCAGACTGGACCATGGCAGGGCACAGGCCCCAGAGCAGAGGATCCGGGAGGAGATGTAATGAGGCCGTGACTGCAGACAAACAAAACCATCAGGGGGCGTGGACCCCAGTTCTCTCATGCCCCGGGGAGCCAGACCCTGCGTACTCTTCCCCAAGCAGAAGACTGGGGACCCCCTTGAGGCTGTGAGTTCCTCGACACAGCGGGATGCCCTGTCCCAGTGCAGGCAGGTGTGCAGGCAGCACCCCAATCCCCTCCCCCCTCCCCCTGGGTCCTGGGTGTGCAGCCTGCTTTTCTTTTGTCACCCTGATCACCTGCACCCGGCCCTGAGCCCAGCCCGAGCAGCACAGAAAAGGATTTTCCCATCACGTGACAACAGCCCTTTCTTCCTCCTGCGCCCTCCCCTGGGCCCTGAGGAAAGCTCCAGCCCTGACAGGAAGCCAGCAACCAAGCCCTCCCTGGCAGTGCTCAGGACCCTGCACCCCTCTCCCCTCGGGACTGGCTGTCTCCTACCTCTGGCCTTTGTCCCACTTTGTCTCCAGAGCCCCTAACTCCTGGGCTCACTGATAACCCAGGTCCTCACTTCCGGTTCCCCCAGGAGCCTCAGGCCCCGGAACCCCGGGCTGCCTTCCTGGAGCCCCGCCCAGCACCCCCAGCTGCGCGTGCAGTGGCGGCCCCTCCGGCACAAATCCCAGCCTGGGGCCGCTGACCCTGAGCAGCTGAAGTTTATCCATGTCTAACAGCAAAACTAGTTTTGCTACCTTGGAATCACCCCCTTATTTTTTAGCAAATCTAGCCTCAGCAAAGTCCCCACCCTCATCAAGAGAGAGGGTCCTGATTGCCTTGGGCTACTTCCAAAAATGAATCCCTATCCATGGAACTGCAGATGCCCTGAAAGGTGCCTCCCTGTCCCATGTCTTTTCCAGAAGAAGGCTAAGGCCTGGGCTTCTGAGAAGAGCATCGCTGGGGCCCGGATGGGAGGAGGGGCATGTGGGTGGAGAACCGTGGCTCCTAAGGCAGAGACCGCATCTCGATGCCCCAGTCTGATACCCAGAAGAAATAACGAGTTGCAGTATACCACCTATTTTTTTTTTTTTTTACAATACCATTTTTGCAGCCCTGATAATGGCAATGATCACCACCCTTTATTCCAGCACCTGTCATGTGCCAGGCATGAGGTCAGCCCGTGAAATGCATTATTTTCCATCCTCACCCAACAACAGTCTACAGATGGGGAAAGTAAGGATTAGAAGTGTTGAGTAATTTGTTCAGCATCGTGTTGATTCCACTAATCACAGCTCCAGCTCCACCAGTGTCATCTCTCATTGTTGGAGGGTTTAAACTGGATAATGACTGTGAGAGAACCCTGTAAGCCACACACACATTGGTCAGCTCTCTTAGTGGTCTTAACTGTGGAATTTCATGCATCAGCAGACAAACAGGAGGCTTTGTGCTTTCCTTAGAGTGGGTGGGGTACTTTTTCCAGACCCCCTCCAAAAAAAAAAAGGATTCGCTACTTTCCTAAGACTCCTGGAGACCCATCCAGGGTCTTAGCAAAGTTGGCCGTTCACACCTACCTTTTCCCACCGACGCTCTTTAAAATAAAAACAAAAACAAAAACAGTTAAACAGTGCCACCCCCTGGAGAGGAAGGGTGTTGCAGCAGTCAGAACAAGGACAAAAAGTTGTCTGTATTCTCAGATGAAGGGGCAAGCCGTGTCCTGCTTACTTCCTGGTCGTGCCAGAGCCTATAGAGGTAAACTGAAGTCAGTCTTCCCCTGAGCCAGCTGGATTGCCAGGTGCTCCAAAAATAAGCCATTCCAGAACCCAAACATTAAGGAAACAACCCTTTAAAGAGTGTGTAGGGGGAAGAAACAGCAAGTACTAATTGCCCTGAGGCAGGAATGAGCTTGGTTTGTACTTTGGATGGAAATAAGGCCAATAGTGGGATGAGGGGCAGGGTAATGAACAAAGGTTGTCCCCTCTACTCCCACCTTCCTCCAGTTCTGCTGTCTCTCTTCCATGTGGTTCAGACTTTTTTTTTTTTTTTTTGTGGTACGCGGGCCTCTCACTGTTGCGGCCTCTCCCGTTGCGGAACACAGGCTCCGGACGTGCAGGCTCAGCGGCCATGGCTCACGGGCCCAGCCGCTCCACAGCATGTGGGATCTTCCCGGACCGGGGCACGAACCCGTGTCCCCCTGCATTGGCAGGCGGACCCTCAACCACTGCACCACCAGGGAAGCCCCAGACTTTTTTTTTTAAGTTTATTTCAGCTTCACAATCATTATTGGTAATCATGTGCCAATTTTTTAAAAGTTTTTATTTTATTTATTTATTTATTTGGTTGGGTCTTAGCTGCAGCACGCATGTGGGATCTAATTTCCCAACTAGGGATCGAACCCGGGACCCTCTGCATTGGGAGCGTGGAGTCTTAACCACTGCGCCACCAGGGAAGTCCCCGGTTCACACTTTTTAAAATCAGACAGACCTGCTTCTCAGCCTCCTTGGGCTGTCAGAGGATAAAATGAGATCACGCCTGTAAAGTGCACACACACAGCGGGTACTCAAGAGATGCGCGCTCTCTCCCCTTTCATGACAACAGGTTCCACCTGAGAATCCAGGCTTTCTTCCGAGGTCTAGCCAGAGACCCAGCATTCCCTCCACCCTGGGAGGTGAGGGCGGCCTGTCTCTGATTGTCATTTCCTGTCCCCACAGGATAATGCACGACGAAGTAAGTGAAACAGAGAACATCCGGAAAAACCTGGCCATCGAGCGCATGATCATTGAAGGCTGTGAAATCCTCCTGGACACCAGCCAGACCTTTGTGAGACAAGGTATGGCCTGCGCGCCCTGCCTCTCCCACCCCCCACCAAGCTGGCCGCAGCAGCGAGAGGCACGTGGCCCTCAGGACACCACCAGTTGGTTGGGCTGCTGCGTGCCAAAACCTGCAAGCGTGATTGCAGAGTATTCCGGGCCTGCCGGGGGAATGCGACAGCTACACGTACATGTCGGTATCTATAGATATCGATGCTGGTATTATTGGTTTTCACAGTTTCCTTCTCTCCAGATGTAAACATAATTCTTCCCAGATGGTCTTGGTTTGTCTATTGTACATCATAGTAAAACATTGACATGTCCTTTTGGGGAGAGAGTAGGGGGCGGACGATGAAGACAGATTCCAGTTGGCCCCATGAATCACAAGAATTTTCAGGGCCCGAGATGGAGTTGGCGTGCGTCAGTCCCTCTGTCCTTTGCTCGGCATCCTTCGCCTCTTGGGGGAGGCCGTGGTCCCAGGGGTCCTGGGTAGGGTTCCCTTCACCCTTGGGCCTCAGCTGACCTTGGGGACAGTTTTGAGGGTCACAGCCCTATTGAGAGGGACAGGAGAGGCTCTCTGTGGCCCAGGGGACTGACTTCCAACTCGGGGATGTCAGAGCTGCGATGCCTTGAAGGTTCAGATTCCATGTCCTATGGGAAACTCAGCTTGTGCTCACGTGCCCTAGAGGTGACTCCACCTCGGGATGGACCTCCCGCCTTCCTTCCGTCGAGTTGGGGTTCTCTGACTAGATGAAGAGCTTCCTAGCACCTCCTGCTGGCCTGTGCAGCTGCCTCTGGCCCCCGCTGCCCTTGGCCTGAGTATCCTCAATGTGGAGTTTGTTCTGAGCCCCTGTGTCCTTCCCACAGGCCCACCCTGGGACCTGCTGAGCCCAGAGCCAGCCTAGCCTGACTCCCAGCTCCCCCTGAGCTGTGCTGCGCCCAAGCTGGAGGTGGCCGGAAGAATGACCTATCTTGGGGTCAGCAGTGTCCCCAAAGACCAGGAATCTGCTCCATCACCCTGGGCCAAAGCAGTTCTTCCCCTCCTGAGGGGTGGGGAAGATCAGACAGGGGAACCCAGCAAGCCCTTTCTCATTTATTCAGTCGTGCTGCCACCACCAAGGACACCTGCCCTATTCATGCCAGGCCAACTCAGGTCTCCAGAGACGCCCAGAGAATAGACTCTGCCCCGCCCTCCAGAACTGACTGTGCAGGGGAGAGGGAGTCAGGATACAGGAAAGGGTTCTGTGCAGTGATGAGCGTGGGCAGGAGGCAGATGGCGGCCCAGAGCAGGGCTGGGGAGAGTCAGGGAGGGCTTCCCGAGGAGGCGGCATTGGGCTCTGCAGCAGACCGTGCTGTGACCAATCGGCCGTGTCTGCGGTGGCTGCATGTGACAGCAGGTGCCCAGTGGATCTTGTTAATCCCTCTGGGCCAGAGCCAGCTCCCCGCTTGTTCAACCTCCTGCCACCCCCAGACCTCAGCCCAGCCCTGCATTCTCACCTCATGGGCCACGTCCTTTGGGGTTCCTTTGCTTTCCAAGGCTCTGGCCCTGGCTGGGAGGTCAAAGGTCCTGCATGGAGCGTCTCTCGTCATTCTCCACCCCCCAAACCCCACCACCCGGCCCTGAGGAGGGGCTGGAGGGAGGGTCCAAGGTGCATGTTTGCTACCAAGAACTAGGACTGCCTTGTCCCACTGCCCTGGCTGCTGGCATCGCAACCCCACCTGCAGCCTCAAAGCCAGGTCAGAGGCGGAGGGTCATTCCGGTGGATGCACTCAGGCTCTCTCTCCTCCATCCGCAGGCTCCCTCATCCAGGTGCCCATGTCTGAAAAGGGCAAGATCACCAGGGGGCGCCTGGGCTCTCTGTCCCTAAAGAAAGAGGGCGAGCGACAGTGCTTCCTGTTTTCTAAGCATCTGATCATCTGTACCAGAGGCTCTGGTGGGAAGCTTCACCTGACCAAGGTAGGGACGGCGGGAGCGAAGCTGCTGGGGCTGGAGGTCAGACACCGCCTTTACCCTAGGGGTCCCGACTGACCCTGACCGCGGGGCCCCGGGTGGACCAGGGTGTCAGAGAGGCGTGAGTGTGCACGCATGCGCCCCCGTCTGACTGGCGGCTTGGAATGAGAAGGCCACTGACGGATTTTCTACCGGAGAAATCGTGGGAAATGGGAAAGCGAGCACGAAGACCCCTCAAGGAGCCCCCAGAGTTGGGGGCTGGGGCGGAGGAGCCAGGGGGTCCAGACAAGACCTTCAAAGGCCCGTGCACGTGTATCTGAGGGGCCGGGGAGGATGGTGGCACCTGGCTGAGGGCAGAGCAGCAGCCAGAGCCTTTGTCTCATTTCCAACCAAAAAGAGCTCAGAGGGCTTCCTTGGTGGCGCAGTGGTTGGGAGTCCGCCTGCCGATGCGGGGGACACGGGTTCGTGCCCCGGTCCGGGAGGATCCCACATGCCGCGGAGCGGCTGGGCCCGTGAGCCATGGCCGCTGAGCCTGCGCGTCTGGAGTCTGTGCTCCGCAACGGGAGAGGCCACAACAGTGAGAGGCCCGCGTACCGCAAAGAAAAAAAAAAAAAAAGAGCTCAGACAGCGCCCCCTCTTGACGCCCTCGGGCACTCACTCCACCAGCACAAGACTCTCCTGCTCCCCGGCACAGCACACGGCTTATCCCGCTGCTGTGAGCTCACGATCCGGTCCCACCTCTGTCTGCTACATATGTGTGACCCTGGAAACGTCCCGCGCCTGTTCACACCTCACTTCCTCATCCGCACAACAGGGACGACTGTCCTCAGCAGAGGCGGGCACAGACGCAGGCAGGTGCCCGGAAATCTGCTCTGGGAAGCATGAAGCCCTCGCCTCTGTAAGCGACAGTCTCCCCGGCACTGCGTCCATCCCCGTGGAAGCTCGCTTCTGGAGATTTTAAATCTGAACGCGTTGTGGCCTGGAAAGGGCCAGAAGGTGCCCTTAATTAAGCCAGAGCATCAGGGAAACCATTCTTCCAGACCCTGGATGCCTGGCCCGTAACCTCCTGCAGAGCTAATTGATCAAGCAGTGGCTTCAGGGAATATACTGCTTATGTTAACATGTCAACGCATTAGTTGGTCGGCTGCACAAGGGGCAATTAATTTACAAACACTGAAGACTCCAATTTCAACCAAATTATGTATCAAGGAAAGCCTTCATTATTTACTAGCTCTGGAGTTTCTCCTGGGAAGATCTCTGTCCAGCCTGGGGGGGACAGTTCCCCCAGCAGGTGGGGGTCAGTAGGGGCAGGTTGAACTGGAGACTTCAAGACGGCTTTTTAGTCTGAAAGCACGTGCTTTTATGTTTGTTAGTTTTATCTTATTTTGGTTTGGGGGTTTGTTTATTTGTTTGTTTGAGTTTTCAAAGTCTCTTAGCATATTGGTAAAGAGCATGGAATCTGAGAGCTACTCAAATTCTAGCCCTGCCACTTACCAGTGGGTGACCTCACCAAGCCTTAGTTTACTTACCTGCAAAATGGGAGTGAACGGCTTCCCTGGTGGCACAGTGCTTAAGAATCCGCCTGCCAATGCAGGGGACACGGGTTCGAGCCCTGGTCCGGGAAGATCCCACATGCCACGGAGCAACTAAACCCGTGCGCCACAACAACTGAGCCTGCGCTCTAGAGCCCGCGAGCCGCAAGTCCTGAGCCTGCATGCCACAACTACTGAAGCCCACGTGTCTAGAGCCCGTGCTCCACAACACGAGGAGCCACCTCAATGAGAAGCCCGCGCACCGCAACGAAGAGTAGCCCCCGCTCGCCGCAACTAGAGAAAGCCCATGCACAGCGACGAAGACCCAACACAGCCAAAAATAAATAAATGATATAAATAAATAAATTTATTTTTTTAAAAATGGGAGTGAAAATACCTACATCATGGGAGTGCTATGAGGCTTAAGTGAGGAAGTGGGTGCAAAACACACGGTCCCATGCCTGGTACGTAGTAAGTGCTCAACAGGTAATAGTCGTTGTCACTCAATTATGTAGTATGAACTTGTAATAATAATAATAATAGCAAGCCTTTGCATGATGGTTACTATGAGCCAGGCACTAGCCCAAATACATCATGTATATTTAATTCATAGAACAACCCACGGAGGCAGATAACTGTTACTTTCCCTATTGTATAAGTAAGGAAACTGAGGCTTCTAGAAACAGCCAGCAAGTGGCAGAGCAGGGATTTGAACCCAGGCAGTCTGGCTCCGGAGTCTGTGTTCTGAAACCAAAGCTAAAATTCAAACCACTTCTTGTTAAATACTGCCACTGGAAATCGAACGCCTTCAGTCCTCCTAAAAGGGACCTGCTACAACTCCCCAAGATCTAAAACTACCATAAGAATTTTTTGGGACTTAAAGTAAGAGAAGGTTAGAGCTAGATGGGCTTTGGAGATTACCCAGCCCAGTGACATCAGTGGTCAGGTTAAGGCCCAACAAGGCCTGGGGGGCTCCCCCAGGGCCACCAAAGAACCAAACTAGAAGCAGAATGCAGGATTCGGGGGCCCACTCTTGATACTTTCTCCAGGTCCCCCTCTGCCTTCCAGGTGGCAGCCTGCCCTGCAGACATTTTCACGTATAGATTAGCCACCTGGCCAGGTTTCTGTTATTGTCAGTTATTATGTTATTTATCTGTTGCTGTCCCCCAAATGGAGTGCCTTTTTTTTTTTTTTGGCCACACCACATACAGCATGTGGGATCTTAGTTCCCAGACCAGGGATTGAACCCACGCCCCCTGCAGTGGAAGTGTGGAGTCTTAACCACTGGACCACCAGGGAAGTCCCCTGGAGTGGCTTAAAACAAACATTTGTTGTCTCAAACAGTTTATGCACGTTAGGAAGTCAGGACAACTTAGCTGGGTGGACATACGTGGCCCAGGGTTTCTTACGAGGTTGCAGTCAAGGTGGCAGCTGGGGCTGCAGTCATCTGAGGCTCGACTGGGGCCGGGATCCTTTTCCAGCGTGGCTCCCACACATGGCTGTTGGCAGGAGGCCTCGTCCCTCATCTGTAGCCTTCTCCTCATGACACAGCAACTGGCTTCCCCCAGAACAAGTGGTCCAAGAAACAACAAGAGAGCAAGCAGGAGGCTGCAGGCCCCAAAGCTGAACACCATCACTCCTGCTTTATTCTCTTAATGAGAAGCAAGTCACTAAGTCCAGTTAACCCTCAAGAGGAAGGGAAGTAGCCTTCACCTTTTGAAAGACGGGGTTTCAAAGAATTCGTGGACATGCTTTACAACCAGCACAGTGGTGGTTACGTTCATTTCTCACTACAGGATCAAGGGATCTCACCCCTAAAAGCTGCTCAGACACTCAAGGATAAGAGGCGTTTTCCCAGATAGTCCTAATAATTAAAAGCCAGCCACTGACCTTGAGCTGGCAACAGGCCCATGAGGCTCTTTCCAGACTCTGCCACTTACCTACCAGGTGACCTTGGGCAACACGGTTAACTCCCTGATTTCATTTCTTCATCTGTAAAATCGGAATAACAACACCTGAGACAGGTCTGTAAATTGGTCCTGTTTCCCTATTGGTAACATGCAGGGTTTAGCCTAGAATGAGGGAGTTCAAACTTCAGACTTAGGGCTACCAGGTGATGCCTCAGAGCCGCTGTAGGGCAAGAAAAGGCCGTGCAAGCCAGGTTCTAGCCCCTCCACCCCCAGCCCGACCTTGGCCCTCCTTTGGGGAAGGCGTCTCTGAGCAATCCCATTTGAGCCACTTCACTGGGCTTCCTATATGGAGATACAGTTCTTCAACTTGAAAACCAAAATACCCACTTGGCATGTAATGTCCACACACATGTGTGCGTCTATGTGGGTGCTCACTCCTCACCCTGATATTCTGGAACTCTAAAACTAGCACATCTCTCGCTTTGATTCAAGGTGGCCCCTGCTCTTTTTCAGAATGGAGTCATATCCCTCATTGACTGCACTTTATTGGAGGAGCCAGAAAGCACAGAGGAAGAAGGTAAGTGTGCAAGTCATGTACAAGCCTGTGTGTGCTCACACAGATGCACACACACTCACCCTGAAAGGTTGGGCCCGGGCATTGGTGTTTTTTCTTTGGAGGAAAGGGAGGATGCAGGACCCGGAGAGGCTGGTCCTGGGTCTTTAGAGAAGGAGCTCTCTGGCCCTGCAGGTGACAGCCTCCTCCCCCTTCCTGGTTCCTTCCAAGCTCCTTGGGTCCCTGGACTCGGTGCCATTGGGTTTGGGGGTCACACTTCTCAGTGAGCACCCCTCCTTCATGCATCCATGTGCTACATGCACAGTGGCTCACTGGGCCACGAGGAAGAGGCTGGGGAGGCGCTGGGCCTATCTCTGTCCTCCAGTGGAAACGGGTGGGGTGTGCAGGGACACACGTGCCACCACCAGAGGGAGTGCAGGGGAACGGTCCCCTGCAGTGGTGTTGGAGTGACCAGGACGGGAGGCAAGACTTGGGGAGAAGGGAGCATGTGAGTGGGGCCCCAGCAAACCAGAAGGGGCTGGGCGGGGAGCTGGGGGAAGATGGTGCCCAGGTGCTCGAAAAGCCACTGTGTAGGGGTGTCCATGGGATCTCTCTCCCCGGGGAATCAGAATTGGGGGATGGGCTTATTATTTTAGCTGAAGGGGTAGGGTCACTACTGTCTCTTGATTGGACCAAAGTTGGTCCTCGTCTCCCTCCTTCACTGGCCCCCCAGCAAGGTTCTGGAGGCCCTCCCCTGGGGGTGCACCAGCTGGACTCTCCATCTTTGCCTTTCCCCAAGGTGGGGCTCCTCGAAGCAGGGCTGTGTCTGAAGGACCCCAGATCCCAGTCCCGGCATGGCTTGGGCTCGGGCTCAGGGTTTGCTGGGGGCTGGGGGCGTAGTACACACACACACACACACACACACACACACACGTGTGCGCGTGCCCTGGTCAGCCGCAGCGGGAGCTGGGCTCTGCACCCTTCGTGACCCTCCACCGGGGGCGGAGCCAAGCGCCCCCTCCAACCCCACCAAGGCAAAAATACATGTGCAGCAATTTACCCGGAGCTCTTACCAGCATGATCTTCAGTCTTGGCCACAGCTGGTCCCGATTCAAGTGGAACTGTCAGTCCCCAAAGCCCTTTTCCCTCCAGGGCCAGGAAAGGGAGAGAGGCGTGGCCCCATGCATCCCCCACTCAACACAGACACCCCACTTATGAGGAGCCAGCATCATCCCATCCTCGAGTCACCACACGGAGCGGGCTCTCCAGTGCCCTCACATTCTCAAGTGTCAGCACTGGAAGGGTGGGGGACCTCAGAGCCGTCACAACCCCACTCTGCTTGTACAGGAGGACGTCTGAAGCCCAGAGCGGGAAGGGTATCACCCCAGGGTCACACAGCCAGCAAGCAGAGACCAGAGCTGTAGCAGACCTTCCACAACATTCCACCCCATTCAGGGGACCCCTGATGAATGTGGCCGTGTTGCAAGGAATCTCTGAACTGTGATCTTAGTCTTTCCAAATAAAGAGTTCAAGGAATCCTTCGGGTTAAAAGCAGTAATAAAAATACCTAGAATTTACTTTGGCTTTGGGGAGCTCTCAACTGAGCTAAATGTCCAGCTGGGTCCATAAAAGCTTAAGATCTAAAGTTCTCCTCCTGGCCCCTGTATCACCTTGGCGTAGCTGGAGGGCCCAGCTGTGAGGCCAGTTCTAGACCTTGCTTAGCCGCTGCCCGGCTGGGGGTCTTATGAAAGTCCTCCCCGGAGACCTCAGCTCCCCATTGGCCTAATGAGGGTAGAGCCGACTGGTGATTCCGAAAGGCTCTTCCAACTCGGAATCGGAGCTGTCCCTGTGTGGTTGTAAGCTACTCTGCACTCTAGGTCTTAGTTTCTCCATCTTTGAAGTGGGGATTCCTCACCTTAAGAAAAAAAAAAAGATGTTCTGAAATTAGCAAGTGGCCTGGTGTCCTACTGCTGCCTTCACCAGTGGGGCGAGGCAGGTATCGTGCAGTCGTTTTCCAACTCAGAAAGGCCCACACTCATTCGGCTAACTCCGTGTTTTGCACCTGGAAGCCAAAGGATCCGGCCAAGACATAGACCACTTGGATTTTAAGATCGGGGTGGAACCAAAGGATTCCCCGCCCTTCACAGTCATCCTCGTGGCCTCATCCAGACAGGAGAAGGTGGCGTGGACCAGTGACATCAGCCAGGTGAGCGGCATCACTTGTCCCTGAAAGCAAGTGGTCCCTTCATGCCTAAGCTGGTGGGGGGCAGGAGGCAGCTACAGGGTTCTAATGGAAAAGACGTGAGTATCTCTACCAACCAAGGCTGAGCCCAGCTAGCTGTCCAGCTCGCAGAGTCCCCTGGTTCCCCCGTAGAGTGTGGTCTGGGAGCCCTTGCATCTGGATCATCCCTAGGGCAGTTTTTTAAACTCCAGATTCCTGGGCTCCCCTCTGGTCCCCTCAGATTTACTACATCCAAGTCTCTGGCACAAGGCCTGGGAACCTACGTTTCGGCACACGCCCCAGGCCATTGGTACCACAGAAAAGTCTGAGCACCGTGACCCAAGGGTGCTGGATGTAGCAAAGCCAGGAGAGAAAGCAAAGGGCCCGCAAAGCCCAGAGCCCGCTCTGCAGGGGGGAAGGTTTGCCTGCACCAGCGTTAGGGTTGTCACCCCACTGGGAGAGTCACAGGAAGCACAGATCTCCCAGGGACCAGAGAGCAGACCCAGAGGGCTGCGGTCACTTGCAGGACCAGTTCTGAGTCTGGAAAGAGGATGTCGGCAGCACCGGGCTGCTGGCCCAGGACAGGCCTCTCCTTGGGCCCAGCCAGGGCCTGCAGTGGGTCAGCCCAGCCCCGTCCCAGGAGCACAGGAGCCTCTCCAGACCCCCTGCTCCCTGCACAGTGGAGGACGGTATTAGGAGAGCAGCTGACGGTGGGAGGAAGGGAGCAGCGAGGCTGGAGATGGCCCCCTTTCAGGGGAGGGGGCCTGGGAGCTGTGTTTATGGAGAACTGGGGGGCAGAGCCTTTACTGTATTTCAGGGCACTCCCCCCACTCACTCCCTGCCCCTCATTTTTAGGCCTCACACCTGGGCTGCCCTGCCTGCCCAGCGCGCAGCCCCACAGCATGGCAGGGTGAGGACGACTAGTAGCAGACATCTGCTCTTTCTCAGTCTTGCCCTCCCAGCTTCAAACAACCAGCATGTGGGCTTCCCTGGTGGCGCAGTGGTTGAGAATCCGCCTGCCGATGCAGGGGACACGGGTTCGTGCCCCGGTCCGGGAAGATCCCACATGCCGCGGAGCGGCTGGGCCCGTGAGCCATGGCCGCTGAGCCTGCGCATCCGGAGCCTGTGCTCCGCAACGGGGGAGGCCACAACAGTGAGAGGCCCGCGTACTGCAAAAAAAAAAAACAAACAAACAACCAGCGTGCCCCGGAGAAAACCAAAAAACTGGAAAGCTCGAGCATGACCTTTTCTAGTCCTCAGGGAGCCATCAAAGGCTCAGGGCTGCTCGCCTGGAGGGTACGCCCCGGGCCTGTGTCCTCTTGAGGGCTGCATTGCTGATACCACCAGGCGTCAGGGCCCCCCAGGCCCACTGATGCCTCCAGGCAGCTCTGATCGGTGGCCAGGCGCCCTGCGTTGCAGGGTTGCCGATGGAACCAGAGCTAAAGAGAGTCTCAGAGTGTGCAGCTGGAGAAAGTGGGCTGGGAAGGGCCACTGACACAAGCCTTCCTCTGGGGCCCACGAAAAACTAGGGGTCCTGGCCCTGAACCACTGTGCCCGCCTCTCTGCTCTCACTTCCCGGTGACCTTGACCCCTCCCCGCACGTACACATCCTCAAAACCAGAAGATACTGTGATGTGATCCCGCAGAGTACCCCGTAGCCCGGGCCAAGGAGAGACCCTCTCTTGGCAGAAATGTGAGAGCTTGGGGCAGGGGGCAATGAGAAGGAAAAAGAGATGTATCTCTGTGTCTTTTCTTTTTGTTTGGGTGCGTACTGTTTATTCAAAGAAAGATTTGGATTTTGAATTTTTTTCAGAGGCTGAGTAAAATGTACAATCTCCTCCCTTAGTGCTGGCAGCCTTGCCACCCCCAGGCAGGATTTTTACTATGGAAAACCGTCTGTGGCTTCAGGATGTGGGCACTGTGGTGAGCAGAGGACGGGGGCGGGCAGGACGGCACCCGTCGAGCTGGCCTCCCAGGACAGAGGCCCCAGGTCACTGTGGATCTGATCTTGTCCTCGGTGCTGGACCTCAGAGGTCAGCCACAGAGTGGCCAGGGTCGGACACCTCCATTTTTGCAAACACCCCGAGGAGGTAGGAATGATTATCCCCATTTTGCAGGTAGGGAAACTAAGGCCCAGGGAAGTCGAATACATCCCCAAAAGGTCACCGAGCTGGGGACTTGACTTCCCATCAGAACCCAAGGGATGCTGTGCGTTGACCCTGCCCTTGCCTGGACAACGCCCTTTGACCCTGCGTCAGGCCGGGGCCTGCGAAGCCTCGCTCGGCAGAACCCCCGCTGGGCCTGGGTCTCGGAACGGAGACGGAGGCTCTGACCCGGGGGTCCTCTCTCTGATTCCAGTGTGTGGATAACATCCGGTGCAATGGCCTCATGATGAACGCATTTGAGGAAAATTCCAAGGTCACTGTGCCACAGATGATCAAGTAAGTGCCCTGAGCCCCCTCTTGTCCGGGCTGAGCTCCAGAGACCGAGGGCCACACAGTGACCACAAGGGGCTCAGAAGATGCCGGGTTTCATCTCTGGGGTGTGTTAGGTGTTTGATTTCAGTTAACTTCTATTTGGTTGATGGCTTTGGCTTCGTTTTTGTAGTTGTTTGTCTTGAAAATGTGGATTTTCGTATTAGGCTGTTCAAAGTAGAACATCAGGAATGACATTTCATGCACTCTGTTTTTTTAATAACTATTTTTCTTTTGTTTGGGCAATGCCAGGGAGGAAGGGTGAGGGGGCTGCCATCCTGCTGAGCTCAGCTCTCTGAGCCCCGCCGGGCAGCGCAACCTCCTGGCCTGCACCAGCCCTGCTTCTCCTCCAGCATCTGCTTGCCTGACCCCCTCACGGTGCCCCCCAGGCGGCCCACTGGTTCCCTGGCCTCCATCTGAACCGTTGAATTCCCGGCTGCTCTGCCCACCTGGCATACGCCAGGACCCAGCTAACCGACCCCAGGCGTGTTGTCCTGCCCAAAGCAAACCTTGGGGACCCACTGCCTCTTTGCTACTTGAAGTGCACACTCGGGGGAACTGCAGGCCGTTATGTAGTGAGGGTGTGAAAGGTCCCACCCACCCCGTTTCGACAGCAGGCCTGATGAAGCGAGCACGCCAGCAGCTAGGAGCTAGCCCAGGCAGGGTCGTGTACGCCAGAGCTTTCAAGCATCCAGCTGAGTTTATGAGGAGTAGCCCCACCCCACCCCATGGCTACATTGTTTAACAGCCGAAGGTGCTGGAGCCCAGAAGGAAGGTCTGGACTTGAAGGCACGAGCCCTGGCCCACAGCTTCTGCTCTGTGTATGACTATGGACAAGTCACTTAACATGTCTGAGCTTGGGTCTCTCACCTGTTATTGGGAGATAACACCCACCTGCCTACCTCCTGGATTTGTTTCAACGATGAATTAAAAAAACACATGTAGAATGATGGTTAAATGTATAGTGGGCACTTACTTATATTCTGCAAAGAGTGCGTTTTGAGGCAGTAAAAGTGAGCAGATGAAACCAAAATAAACTCACCTGTGAAAGAAAAAATACAGCATTTTAAACTATGATGGTGATAAAGGGAATGGAATATCCAGGTCAAAGTGACAACTCCAAGGACCTGTCGGCTCCCAGACTTAAGCGTGGCCTCCTTGGCAGGAGTAGCCCATTGGCAGCGTCCCCCTGCGAGGGCGCCAGGGAGCAGATATGAGCAGACGTGGCTTCCGTCCTCAGGGAGTTCTCCATTTAGTGAGAGAAAGAGACACATAGAAATCGTAAAACGCTAGCGGGTGCTACAGAATAGAATTTGTATGATGCTACGAACGAGGGTTCAGAGAATGAGTGACAAGTTCACCTGGCACAGCTGGGGAAGACTTTCCCAAGAAGAGGACATCAGAACTGACCTCAAAGGATAAGTTAGGGTTTGCTAAGTGGTGGAGGGGGAAGGGCATCCTGGGAAGAGGGAACAGCATGTGCAAAGACACAGAGGCAGCGAAGCACATGGTGTGTTTGGGGAATGATAAAACGTTCCATGGGGCTGCAGGGTTGGGAGAGTGGTATGTCCTGTGGGAAATAACCTTAATGCAATTGTGGCCTCCAAGTTCACTACCAGATAAACTATCCCAGAGGTCTTGGAACAGAAAGGCTCGCAGACCCAATTAAGATGCTAAACCACACAGTCTAGTGAGTCAATTTTAAACACTTAGTGAGAAACCAGGGGAAAGAGAAGGGATAGTAGGTTAGTGCCTGTTACACGTAGTTGCATGAGCTAGTTACACCATGGCCATTGTCCAGCCTCTCTCCCTGCTCCATCTACCTTCCTTGTTGATGGAGCAGCTACAAGGACCAGAGTTGAAGCTTGATCAGTGGATCCAAGGGCACACGCTTGCTCTGTCTGAGAAGTCGGGGCAAGTATGTCTGGCCACAGTGGCAGCTCACCAGTTAGACTGAAGAAGAGCTACAGGTGTATCTATAGTTCTGGGACAGAGGGTAGAGGGTCAGGATGGATGTCGCCAGTGGGTGGCTGACTTAAGACGTGAATATTGAGTGTACGCTGTGCCTCATGAATATTAAGTGTAGCTTGAATATTTGGTGCCTTGTGAGTATTTAGTGCATGCTTGGTCCTTCCACCCCTCCTATTTACATTTGGCACATGAATGCTTTACTTAGTGTATATATATGCCTGCCATGGCTCACAAGCTGTTTGCTCCTTCGTCTGTCCTCCTTTTTTGTTTCTCTTATTTTTTATAGCACAACTGTATTTTCTTAAACAATACAGCGGGCTGAAGAGGTGGGCAGGAGTCAGATAATAGTAACGTGACAGGTGAGGAGTTGGGTTTTCTTCTGTAGGTGTTAGCGTTGCACCCCAGGCGGTGACGCGCGCCCCCTGGTGGCCATGGATAGAGTGGCAACAGAGAGCCTGGCTGGAAAAAGGCATCAGCGGTATAGCTGGAGGGTCCGTGGCTGGGGGGACATTCCCTAGATGTGTTCCCCGTAAGCCTCTGAGTTTCTGGCATGGTTCCCATTTCAGATACCCCACCCTGTTGTCAGACTGAATTAAGAGCGTCCTGATTTTTGGTTTGCAATACAAAGAAACATTTAGTCCCATGCACCCTGAGTATTCCTGCTACCCTCCCGACACACTGCATCCTGGCCCTCTGGTGGGTAGATGCTAGTGGCAGTGTTTGAGAGGAAGGTCCCAGAGAATGAAAGTCATCAACCACCAGCAGCCCAAAGATCCAAGAAGTCTCATTCCATCTGCCCTGGGTCCTGAGGCTCTGCCCCAACATGTGACCTCAAGGACAGGTAGACCCAAGGCAGGGCACTCCCCCTGCAGAAGGAAGAAGAGGGAAGCCCTTTCCAATCAAGCCCAGGCCTCTCGATGCCTGGGAGACAGGAATGCCACTTGGAGTTTCGTCAAGAAGTATTGGGGGGCTTCCCTGGCGGTCCAGTGGTTAAGAATTCACCTTCCAATGCAGGGGTTGCAGGTTCGATCCCTGGTCAGGGAGCTAAGATCCCACATGCCTCGCAGCCAAAAAACCAAAACGTAAAACAGAAGCAATAATGTAAAAAAATTTAAAAAAAACATTAAAAAAAGGCCCCACCAAAAAAAAAAATCTCAAAAAAAAAAAAAAAGTATTGGGAGAGCAAAGAGAGAGGCAGGGCTGAATTTACAGTCAAAAGATGCTTGTGTTGTGAGGGACCGAAAACCCCTTCTAGCAGGGCTGGTAAATATCTAACACACAAGCCAGCCATTTGGATCAGAATCCGGAATCCGTGGCAGACATTACTAATGGGTCACGGCAGTCTTTAAGGCTGAGCCTGTAATGGTCAACACAGCCCCAGGCAGTTACTCCCAGTCTGGCAGAACTGGTATCCAGGATGAAAGCTGTTTTTATCACTGCTTTATTGTGCCGTCGCATTTTACAGATAGGGCAACTAAAGTCCAGAATAGGTTTATGTAACATTGGAGTTGCCAGAGGCACCATCACCAACAATGATTGTGAGGCTTGCGACAGAGCAGAAGGGGGCAAGGGAGGTTGATAGAAAAGGGAGGGCTTGGGACTTCCCTGGTGGTCCAGTGGTTAAGACTCCCCACTCCCAATGCAAGGGGGCTCGGGTTCGATCCCCGGTCGGAAAACTAAGATCCCGCATGCTGCATGGTACTGAAAAAAACAACAAAAAACCAAAAACAATAAATAAATAAATAAAATAAATATTTTTTAAAATTCCATTAACCCTTGGAAAAAAAAGAAAAGGGAGGGCTTTTCTCACTTTCTCTACCCCCCTCCAGTGGCAGAAGGAGCCCAAAAAGAAGGTGCTAGAAGCAAACCCTTGCCAGAGGGGTCCAATAATCACCACTGAGGATGTCAGGTCTAGGCTGGACGCTTCGGGATCCATGGTGTGTGAGGAGTTGCACTGTCCTTCTAGAAGGTGCAGTCCCATGGTGGGGACCTGGCTTGAGTTAAGGGAGTCCTTTCACCCAAGGGCCGAGGGCAGCTCTCCAGGGATGGTGCCGCTGAGTCCTTCCCATCTGCAAGTACTTTCTCCTGCCCACTGTCTTTCAGTTTTGCTTCTCTGCAACTTTTCTTCTTCCTTTAGAGGTTTGTAGTCAACTGGCTGGATCCCTGTCTGTCTATTCCATGCCGCTTACATTTTCTCTCCTCACTTGAACCTCTCCACCTTCTCTGCATTCTGGGAAAATTTCTCAAGTTGGCTTCTTGTGTCACTCATTTGATTTTCTGAGTCTCTCATCTGCTGTTACTTGCACTCATGTCCTCTGATTCAACACTCTTGTCTTTCGTTTCCAAGAAATCTTTCTGATCTCAGATGATTTCCTCTTCCTGGTTGCTTCTTGTGGTTTGGTCAATGCAATATATATTCTCCTGAATCTCGATGAAAAATAAAACAGGTGTTTTCTAAAATGTTCTGTGTCTTGCAGCAAAGCTACCTTAGACGGAATCATTCCTGTTTCTTCAGGATTGTCTCTTTTCAAACTGAAAGAAGAGAGACCTGTGGATGTTTAGACCCAGCTCAGCCCTCAGGTCCTCAGCCCACTATGATCTGGTTGACCACCAGACGCCTGTCCTCACGTGTTGGCAGCCTGAGAGGAATGGGACTTGCTGCCACCAGATCCAATTTGGAAGGTCCCAGAAAAGGACTTGGATTGCTCTGGCTTGGGTTATACCCTCACCCGATGCAAAAATCACTTTGGCCAGGGATGAAGGACTTTGATAGATCTAATCCAGGATGACTGCTCAGCCCTGAGGGTTTCCCTTTTAGTCCAGCTGATGTAACGCAGGCGATGTTAATTGACCCTAATACTTTAAGAAGCAGCCGAGGTGAGGTCAAGGAGGAGATGACCTCTCCCTACAAAGACTGAGAAGGTTGAATAAACTGCTAAGGATTCTGCCCCACCTTGGCGCTGGGGGGGGGGGGGGGGGCGGAGGTTTATAATAAATGACCATGGCAACTTCACCCTTTGTAGCTCTTCATAACTAAGGGAGGAGAGATGTCAGCAGATTGCTGGCAGCAGGAACAGCCAATAACAAAAATGTGTAGGACTTTTAGACTTAGAAAAAAAATTAGACCCTTGGGGGTTGAATTAAGCTATTCGTCATATCTGCTGACACTTGCTCATGTAGTTTTTAATTTTGGATTGTGAACTCATTTTCAGTGGGGGGTTTATCTTTGAATGTCTTGTAGAGCCTGGTTGACAGATGCCCTTCCTGAAAGGTCTTGCATTTGTTTCCACCAGTTGCCCCAGGAGCATTACATCCTGTGACTACACTAATACTCTTTGGGCTTCCCAGACCACAAAGATAGTAGGTATTTGTCTTCCAAAACCACTGGAAGGGCAAATAATACACTCTCAAGGCAGCTTGATGCTCTCCCCATGCTCCCCCCTCACAGCCTGGGCTAAAACAGAAAACTTGCAATCTTCCTTTCCTGGTGGGTAGATTTTTCTAGGCCCCCTTTCGCTGAGCCTATAACCCTTCAAGGGTCCCAGCTTTACATGGGGGATCTCACTCCAACTGCCTCCACCCGCAGGCCCAGGCCTGGTCTACTTCTCTGTTGAAACCAAGGCACTTGGTTTCCAAGAGCAACAAATGCCCTAAAGGCAGCTAAAGCATCAACTGGTTTCCAAATTTCTCTTCATTTTTGGGCCCTGGAAATTTCCCGTATACTTTTTGCCCCTAGTTGGTTTTTTTTTTTATTGAGATATAATTCATATAACATAGAACTCACCATTTGAAAGTATACAATTCAGTGGATTTTAGTATATTCACCGTGTTGTGTAACCATCACCACTGTCTAGTTCCAGAATATTTCCATCACCCCAAAAAGAAACCCCATGCATATTAGCAGTCACTTCCAATTTGCCCCTATTTCTACCCCCTGGCACCCACCACTCTACTTTCTGTGTCTATAGATTTGGCTCTTCCGGATATTTCATATAAATGAAATCCTACAATGTGTGGACTTTTGTGACTAGGTTCTTTCACCTAGCATGTTCTCAGGAGTCATCCATGTTGTAGCATATATCAGTATTTCATCCCTTTTTATGGCTGAATAGTATTCCGTTGTATGGGTAGATCACATTCTGTTTATCCTTTCATCAGTTCATAGACATTTGGGTTGCTTCCACTTTGGGGCAATTATGAATAACGCTGCTCTGAACATGTGTGTCCATGCTTTTGTGTGAACGGACTTTCTTCATAGCTTGTGAACGTGGCAGTGTATTATTTTTAAGTTTGTTATATTTCATCCAGCATTTCTAAGAGTTTTATAATGTCAGGTCTTCAGGTATTACTGGGAAAAAGAAGTTGCAGCCCATTTTTCCTCAACGTCAGTCTTCCAGAGCTTTCCTTGTTCCCGTCACAAGCCACCCCGTCCTTCATCCGTCCCTCCATCCTTGGCTGTTGGTGTGCTGGGGAGACAGTGATGGGTGTTCCGTGGTCCAGCCCTCGGGGAGCTCGCAGCCCGGTCGGGGAGACAGCCACAGACTCAGACACTTTCAGACCCAAGTGCCTTCTCCGTCCCTCCTCCCTCCTCAGGTCCGACGCCTCCTTATATTGTGATGACGTGGACATTCGCTTCAGCAAAACCATGAACTCCTGCAAAGTGCTGCAGATCCGGTATGCCAGCGTGGAGCGGCTGTTGGAGAGGCTGACGGATCTGCGCTTCCTGAGCATCGACTTCCTCAACACCTTCCTGCACTCCTATCGCGTCTTCACCACCGCCGTCGTGGTCCTGGACAAGCTCATCACCATCTACAGGAAACCCATCAGTGCCATCCCCGCCAGGTGGGCAGGCCTCCTCCTCCTGGGCCGACCCTCACAGCTTCTGGGCCCAGGAGGGAGACCGAGCTTGGCAGCGGACTGGAACCTGAGCTGGGGGAATGAGGCGCCCACCCTTTGCAAAGAGGTCGGGGAGGGCTGACCTGCCTGAGGCTGCTTCTCAGCCCCAGCTTTCTCCATCTCCCACCCCGGGCTCCTGGGGTGGGGTAGAGTTTTGGGGGGTCGCCTACTCCACAGGACAGGGTTTCCCCACCTTCCCCATTTAAGAAAGGGAAAAAAAGAGGAGGGGTGGAGTCAAGGGAAGAAGGGAGGGAGAGAAAGAGACAGAGAGAGAATCTTATCCCCTCTCTGCTTCGACCACGTCCTGCTCTGAAGAAGAGAGTCACTTTTTGCACACTTGGGGTGGTTTTCCACCTATGGAGGGCTGGCCACCTGAGCCTTGGCTTCAAGGCCATCTTTTCCATCTGTGTTGTCACAGCTCAGCCCTGTGGGGGTCCAACTGGGACCAGAAAGGTCAAGAGGCTTGCCCCAGGGCTCCTGGACGTCTGTGGCAAAGTGGGGACTTGAACCCAGGGCCCTGGTCTCGTTGAGCCCACACGGCCACCCATGTCTGAGTCTGGGTGACAGGCAGGGCGGAGGTGCCCCCTTGCATTCCTTTCCCACCTGTCCTCCTCACATCCCAGCTTTAACCAGCCTTCAGCTGCCCACCCCCAGCCCGGCCAAGCTTTGAGGGGCCTGGTGGGGTCACTGTGAACCCAGGGTCCCTGCCAGGTTAGAATTCTAAGGGCAGGCACATCCCACACGGCAGGGTCAGGCGCTAGACTGGCCGAGACCTGGGGCCAGCCCAAAGAGCCAGCCTCAGAACTTCAACATTTACCAGTCCAACTGCTGGGGACCCAGCTTAGTGAACAAAGACCATTACCCCCATCTCACCAGATGATTACCAAGCCAAGGGTGGTACCAACGAGGCACCACGGGGGCAGGTCAAACCCAGCAAGACCCTACCCGCAGCCCAGTTTGAGATGGGTGAAGAAGGTAGCTTTCAATCCTCACCCAGCAGAGGGGAAAGTGAGGCACAGAGGAATGAAGGACCTGCCTGAGGCTACCCAGCAGAAGGTCAAGTTCAGGGACCCTGATCAACCTCGCTGCTCCAGGAGGGGCCTGCCAGGAAAGGAGGAAGGCCAACTGGTGCTTTCCTTTTCTGCCTGAACCTCCGCCTTGGACGCCGCTAAGTCCTCCCCCACCCCCGCGGGTGAGACTGGGGCTGGGGCCTCGGCTCTACCACACCAACTCCCAGGGCCGCCTGGGGGCCGGGCTGGTCCCAATTGGGAGCCCAGGTTACAAGGCGGGGGCAGGGAGGCCTGCAGACTCTAACCATCCCCCCGCCCCACCCCACGCCTCTGCTGCCCGCAGGCCAGCTGCCCAGAGTACACCTCCGTCCCCTCCCCCAGCCCCTCCCTGTCCCCCTCCCCGCAATGCTGCAGTTCACCTGCTAAACCTCAGCAGCCGGCTTCCCAGGGCTCTGAGAGAGCAGGAAAAACTGCCCCATCCAGGATGGAGTCACGCCTGAAAAGCAATCGAGGTCATTCCTGAGGGATCCAGCAGGTCACCCGCCCCCCCTCCCCCGGAACCTGGGAACCCCCTGGGATTCCACCCAGCAGGCAGAGCCTGTAGTGGGAAGAGGCAAGTTCAGATCTCAGCCCTCAGCCCTACCTCCTTGACCAAACCCCTTCACCTCTCTGAGCCTGTTTCCTGTCTGTGAAATGGGAACACCAGCACCTTCCCCCTGGGGCAACCGTGAGGATTAAGAGATGAGGTCTGTCCCATGCTGAATACATTCCATGCACGCGAGCTGCTGTTTGTGTTATCATGTATGTATCACCTGTTCCCAACCTGGCCCTGAGCTGTGGGCCCTGCCTGCAGACGGTAGGAGCGTGGCCAGGGCTGCTGGGAGCCTCCCGCCCCCCAAGTTTACACCTGAGGCTGATCAAGTGCCCAGGTGGGGTGGAAAGGACACTGGGTTTAGAGTCAGGAGGCATCAAATGAGTCATTTCCCATCTCTGAGTCTCAGCTTCATCCATAAACTCTCTGGACCTGGGTGAGAAGGACGTCAGAGGTGCTGGTGACACCGAGCCCATGCTGGGGACAGAGAGAGGTTTCTCAGAAGCCTGCAGGTCAGGAAGACCCACAGCATCATGGGTCAGCTGCTGCTGCTGACCAGTGGGATACAAAGAGGGAGCATCAGGCAGACCTACCGCGCCACCAAAGTCCCTGTCCCCCTCCCGGAACAGGACACTTGGGCCTATAGACACCTGGCCACAGACCATTGAACTACCCGGCCCCTTTGGCGTGGCCTCCTCTCAAACCTGCCCACTCAGAGGACCAGCCCGGCGGTCAGGGAGCATGAGGGTGAGGGAGCCGCTGCTGCCCCGCTGAGCCCCCCAGGAGACGGGGGACCCCCAGGCCTGGGCCGGCAGCCAGGCCTACACTGACCGTTTGTTTTCATCCCCTCCCTGGCCCTCCCCCCAGGTCATTGGAGCTCTTGTTCGCCAGTGGCCAGAACAACAAGCTCCTGTACGGCGACCCCCCCAAGTCGCCACGCGCCACCCGCAAGTTCTCCTCACCCCCACCCCTGTCCATCACCAAGACGTCATCCCCGAGCCGCCGGCGGAAGCTCTCCCTAAACATCCCCATCATCACGGGCGGCAAGGCCCTGGACCTGGCCGCCCTCAGCTGCAACTCCAACGGCTACACCAGCATGTACTCGGCCATGTCGCCCTTCAGCAAGGCCACGCTGGACACCAGCAAGCTGTACGTGTCCAGCAGCTTCGCCAGCAAGATTCCAGATGAGGGCGATATGAGCACTGAGAAGCCCGAAGAATCCTCAGCTCCCAGCAAGCAGGGTGAGTGGATGCGAGGGCCAAGCTGCCCCTTGCTCACGGGCCCACTGAGGCCAGCCCAGCCCCACCGGGAGGCTGGGGGTCCTGGCCAGATGGTGGTGGCAGTGCAGAGCCTGGGCGGGGGAGAGGCAGGCAGAGATGCCCAGGAAGTGGGATGAGTGTCCCTCCCGCTGCCCTGATGACAGCTTTCTCTTGCATCCTTGTATCTGTCCATCTCTGCAGTGGACGTGTCCTGGGTCAGGCCCCAGTCAGGGCCTAGGAGAGAAGAGGGCATCAGATGGGGCTCCTGCAGCCCGGGGTTCACAATGTGGCTGGGGAACAGGACCAGACACGGAAACATGGGCACCTTATGCATGTGGTGTTAGAGGGGCGCTTGAGGGACCCCGAGCATGGAGTGGGGACGCCGTCGGGAGCGTCTGAGAAGGCTTCCTGGAGGACCTATTAGATCTAGATTTGTCACCAGGAGGAAGGGAGAACATTCTAGACAAAGGGAATGGAGTGGGCAAGACTGAGAAGCAAGGAAAAGCATTGTGTGTTCAGGCAACACCGTGAAACTCAGCACACCTGGAACACTGGGTGTGGGGCAGTGGCCAGAGGTGATGCTGGGCAGGCTGGGCCCGCCCTGCTCTCAGAAGCCCAACCATTCTAGAATGGCATTTGTTGGGAGGATTGTCTGGTTGTGTCTTAGGTTGGGTCAGCCCACATTCTGGGTGACACCAGCCTTGTCTTGGTTAGCACACATGTGCATATATACATACACACATCCGTATACACGCACGAACACACAACCCTGGGCTGGATGGAAGCCCCAGCCTTCGAGGAGGAGGCCTTTGAAAAAAATGTTAAGGTGGTCGGAAGTTCTGTCCTCTGAGTTGAGAAGAGGGAAGTCAGCAGGACGACCAGCAGACGGCAAAGCCGGGGAGGGGTAAAGCCCCCAGGAGCTTCCGGTACCAAGTGACGTTTACTGCGGCGCATACAGTAAATAGGGGACAGGCGCAGCCAAAAGTCAGTAACCAGTGTAACAGCCGACCAGAGAGCCCCAGATGCCGTCCCACAGGAGCGGAGGACGGAGTCCCTGGCAGGGCAACGTCAAGGGGCACAGAACTCCATCTGCCACAGCCTGCAATGAGTCCAGGCCTGACGCGCGATAAGATGTGATGCGAGACGGTCCTGAGAAGTCATCTCATCTCATCTCATACTTTTTTCTTTTTTAAAAAAAAATTTATTTATTTTATTTATTGATTTTTTTGGCTGCGTTGGGTCTTCGTTGCTGCACTTGGGTTTTCTCCAGTTGCGGTGAGCAGGGGCTACTCTTTGTTGCGGTGCACTGGCTTCTCATTATCATGGCTTCTCTTGTTGAGGAACATGGGCTCTAGGCGTGCGGGCTTCAGTAGTTGTGGCACGGGGGCTCAGTAGTTGTGGCTCGCGGGCTCTAGGGCACAGGCTCAGTAGTTGTGGCTTGTGGGCTCTAGAACGCAGGCTCAGTAGTTGTGGCGCACAGGCTTAGTTGCTCCGCGGCACGTAAGATCTTCCCGGACCAGGGATCAAACCCGTGTCCCTTGCGTTGGCAGGTGGATTTTTAACCACTGTGCCACCAGGGAAGCTCCTTGTACCGGGCTTCTTGACCAGTGATCCAGGTGACCCTGAACCTGTCTAACTGTGCACCAGAGTTTGTATGTGTGTGTGTGTGTGTGTGTGTGTGTGCATGCACACATATGGACATTCTTTTCTGAAGAGGAGACCTATAGCTTTCTTTGGCTTCTCACAAAGGTCAGGTGTAACTCCACTTACTTTCTAGTTGGGGAAACTGAGGACCAGAGAGGTGAAGAGTTTTCGACCAAGATCTCACCACACCAGAGCTGGACTTTTGATATAATTCACCTGCTTTCCCCGAAGTGTGTAAACCATGAGTCTCCCAAGATTTAGGGGGACTGCCCAAACCAGGATACTTTTGATAGTGACCGGGTGCATGGGACAAGAGGTATGAAGCAGGATTTTATATCCTAGACGGTCACCCTAAGATGCTTCACACACACACCAAAAAAGCGGGGAGTGGGGTAGTACCTTGCTACTCAAAGTGTGGTCCGTGGACCAGCCTCGTGGGCATCACCCCTCCCGGGCCCCACCCCAGACCTCTGAACCAGAATCTGTATTCTAACAAGATCCCCAGGTGTGCCCGTTAAGGTCTGAGGAGCCCTGGCAGAGCAAAAGCCACCTTGGAGATTGACAGGTCCATCAGCAAGTAAAAGGTCTGATGGGGCCCCGTGGCAAATGAAGCTGTTATACTGTCCTCAACAGGTATATGCCAAACCTACTCCGTTTGCTTCATTAAATTCTAGACCCGCGTTTAAAAGTCATTGACGATTTGAGAAACATCAAATTGTTGCCTTCTTTTCTCCCAGGCTCAGAAGTCTCCATGAGGGAAGAGTCAGATAACGATCAAAACCAGAGTGACGAAGGTGACACTGAGACATCACCAACCAAATCGCCAACAACACCAAAATCGGTCAAAAGCAAAAATTCCTCAGGTACAGTCCACCGACACGAAACCACAGGTCAATTCCAGAGGACATGTGCCATCCAGGCAGGGGAGAAGGTGACGGGTCAGGCTGAGGAAAGGCCAGTGGGGGTCACGCCTTCTGTTTTATGAGTGACTCCTAAGTGCAGGAACTCAGCTGCACTTCACGACCCCGGGGGCTGCAACACCGGCTGGTAAATCCTGCTTTTCAACTCAGCAGAATCACTCCCCTGACCTCAGACAAGACTACCTAACCCACCCAACGCAGATGGGCAGGAAGGCCCAGTATTTGGCTTCATTCATGGAAAGATCCAGGTTCAGAAGGTGTTTCCTGAGCTGCTGCTACATGTCACGCTCTGGGCCAGGCTCTTTAATAACATCCGACACCTTGCAGCGGGGCCAGGACATTCCTGTTTTTTCATCTAAGGGAAAAGTCTCCGAGAGGTTGTGGTGATGCCCACCCAAGTCTCAGACTCATGACCCTGGAGGGTTCTCGGGGAGCCACTGGGTCTCTGGTTCCCGTTAAGCACTTCCCCACATACAGGGGTCTCTGAGCTACCCAAAGGTGAGGCATAAGCTTATGGAAGCCCCTGGTCCCACATACAAGGTGCAGCCTGAACCCCGAACTCCCCAACTCCCCAGGCCCTCTGAGGAGACCCAGTAAGTCACAGGGTCACCCACCTGCAGAGAGAAACTGCCCAGACACACTGCAGGCCTACCACAGCCCCTCAGGTACACGGAAGCAGATCTCACAGACAGCCAAATTCCAGAAATCAGCTTTGAGTTTTAAAGTCAGTCATTTGTGCCTCACTGCATAAGTGCTGTTACTTTCTCCTAAGGATGGATTGCTCTCCAGAGGTTTACAAGCTGAAGCTTAAGGTTTCTGGAGTGAGATTCTGCTACTATTACTGCTAAAAAAATAATGATTATTATTAATTGCATTGATATTCCATGGCATATATATTGGGTCGGCCAAAAAATTCATTTGGGTTTTCCATAAGATACAGCTTATCACACAATACTAAGTACTTCCTTCTGTGTTAACTCCTTTCATCTTTACATCCGCCTTTTGAAGCAGGTGTTAATATCCCTATTATCCAGAGATTATTTTGACTCAGAGAGGTTAGGTAATTTACCCAAGGCCACACAGCTAGTACAGGGGGTGAGGACTCAGAGTGCAGTGCTCTTTCCACCCCACTGTGCCAGGGAGACCGTCAGTATGAGTTATCCATGTCAGACACTGGACAGGTTATGTGTTCATTCCAAATAGACTGAAAGGGAAAGAAAACTCACGATGCTGTCCTCAAGCAGGGCTGTGCCCAGCTGGGCCTAAGAGGTAAAGGGTTTGGAGCTGCAGAGGGATGGAAGGGGCAGAGGGTTGGTGGGACCTTCTCAACTCAGCAGGAGAAACAGAGGGGGGCAGGGGCTTTCCCTACTCTGAGGCAGCCCTGGGGTGACATGGCATGGCATGAGCGTGTCCCTTCCTGGGGACCCCAGCAGGGGAACAGACCCCGCTGCCACCACCTGACAAGCCGTGGGTGCAGTGAGCACAGCCAGCCCCTCTTGGGCCCCTTCTAGCCTCAGGACCCCTGGTTTCCTGAGCCGAGGGCTGGACCAGGAAGAACTGACGAGTGGTTCCGTGCTCTCCACAGAGTTCCCACTCTTCTCTTATAATAATGGAGTTGTCATGACCTCCTGTCGCGAGCTGGACAGTAACCGCAGTGCCCTGTCAGCAGCCTCCGCCTTTGCCATAGCAACTGCAGGCGCCAACGAGGGCACCCCAAACAAGGAGAAGTACCGGAGGATGTCCTTGGCTAGCGCAGGTACGGGGGATCGCTCACGGCTGGTGATGACAGCCGTGGCCCCGGGGGCTTGTCCCCCTTCGAACGTGGAGCGCCTGCTGCCCCAGGGCTTGTTGTGTGCCGAGCCTCCTGCCTGGAGGACCCTTCCTCCTCACCCACCCCGTCTGCTACTCCAAACCTCTGCTCGGAGTCAAGCCCACTGCCCACGGGAAGCTCAGCCATCCCCACCACCTCCCACTGCCACGACATTGATCCTGCAGAGAAGGGGTCCCGGAGGGCTCTGGTCCAGTGTGGCCCTGTCTGGAGAGGCTGCCAGATGCCCCCAGCAGCCCCTGAAAGGTGCCGAGGTCCGGGAGAGGCGGGACTGTGTCCACAGAGAAGTCGTGACATCCAGTCTCACTGGTCAGAACCTGGGATGGTTGTCACATATTTTCTCATCCCCTGCCCATAGCCCACCCGCCAGCAGCCATGTGGGGCAGCCCGACTTCCCCAGATCTGGGGTCTGAGTCTGGACTAGAGGCCAGTGCTGTTTCTTATCCTCGCATCCCCACTCTTGCCTCTGCCACATGTGCCGCCAGGCTTTCCCCCCGACCAGAGGAACGGAGACAAGGAGTTTGTGATCCGCAGAGCGGCCACCAATCGCGTCCTGAATGTGCTCCGCCACTGGGTCTCCAAGCACTCTCAGGTGGGTGGGACTAACCCCGGGGCGGGCTGCTGGGAACCCGAGGCCACTGACCCCAGGAGCCAGCCACCCTGATATTCTCGGGAGGGCCTGCTCAGATCCCCTACAAGGGGACCTAGGACATTCCAGGGGACGAGGGGCCTCTGCTCTCCACCTCTGTCTACAGCAGGGATACCTCCCAGAGCCTGGCCCAGGGGTGTAGCGGTCAAGATCAAGGGATGGTCCTTGATCTTGCCCAGTGCCTTCTACCTCTGGGTCTGGAGGCTCCACTGACACCCGGCCAGGCAGCTAGGGAAGAGGGGAGTGAGACGGGCAGCCTGCCGTGGGCAGGAGTCGAACCCTCAGGCTCCTCCTCGGGCCGGGCCGGGACCACCCCAGGGCAGCTGGAACGGTAGCCACAGCCGGCCCTCCCTTCTTCCCCACAGGACTTTGAGACCAACGATGAGCTCAAGTGCAAGGTGATCAGCTTCCTGGAGGAGGTCATGCACGACCCGGAGCTCCTGACCCAGGAGCGGAAGGCTGCAGCCAACATCATCAGGTAAGGGCTGAGGTCGGACTGCTGGGATGGGGCCCTGCGCTCGGCCTCTGGACGGCTGGCCAGAGGCAGGGAGGCGAGGAGGGACAGTCCCGGGCCGAAGGACTGCCTCAGGCAGGTGTGCTGGGAGGACCTCGGGGCAGCCAGGCTCTGGAGTGGGCTATCCATGTGCAGTTCTCCCCTCTGCCTGCCCCCGTCAGGCCTTGAGCCCCTTGAGGCAAGAAGGGTGTCTGCTTCTCCATCCACACCCACTGCGAACACCTGTCTAGCCCATGCCGTCCTGCGTGGTAGCCACTAGCGACATATAGGTGTGAAATCTCAATTAATTAAAATTAAATAAAATTTAAAATTCAGTTCTGGGACTTTCTGGCGGTCCAGTGGTTAGGACTCGGAGCTTTCACTGCAGGGGGCTTGGGTTCCATCCCTTGTCAGGGAAGATCCCACATGCCACCCAGACAAAAAAAAAAAAAAAAAAAGAAAAACATTAAAAAAAAAATAATTAATAAAATTCAGCTCCTTGGTCACACGAGCCACAGGTGGCTGGTGCCTCCATACTAGGCAGCATAAAGAACATTCCCATCGTTGAGGAGGGTTCTGTTGAACAGCACCGGCAAGCCCCTGTTTTCTAGGTGCTCAGGGAATGTCTGTTGAATTGAGTTAAATTGTCCCCAAACCTGTCCTTTTTCCTCCTGCCCCAGACTGCCTCTCCTGACAGAGGTCAGAGGTCAGGTGGCCCCACGTCCAAGCCCTGCTGGCTCAGACAGTGACTCGCTGTGTGACCTTGGGCAAGCCCCTTCTCTGAACCTTGTTTTTCTCCTCTGTAAAATGGGCGAACAGGGCTTCCCTGGTGGCACAGTAGTTGAGAGTCCGCCTGCCGATGCAGGGGACATGGGTTCGTGCCCCGGTCCGGGAAGATCCCACATGCCGGGCAGCAGCTGGGCCCGTGAGCCATGGCCTCTGAGCCTGCGCGTCCGGAGCCTGTGCTCCGCAACGGGAGAGGCCACAACAGTGAGAGGCCCGCGTACCGCAAAAAAAAAAAAAAAAAGAAGTCAGTGACAAGAAAGGGGAAAGGGGGCTCCTGGTGCACGCGCACGAAATGGCAGAGCACAGACAGAGAGATGGGGGGCGCCGAGACCGTGGGGCCTTGCGCGATGGGGCGGGGGTGGTGCTGCCCCAAAGGCTGGGGGGACTGAGCGCATGGGGCTCATTGTGCTTTCTCGTCCCATAGGACTCTGACCCAGGACGACCCGGGGGACAGCCAGATCACGCTGGAGGAGCTCACACAGACGGTGAGCCAGGCCTGCCCCCTTGCTCGCTGGCCAAGTCTGTCCTTCCCTGGCCTCCTGGCTCCCAGGATCCCCACCCAATGACCCCTTGATGGAGCTCAGTCACCCCCCTGTATTGGTTTCCTAGAGCTGCCCTAACAAAATACCCCAGACTGGTGACTTAAAATAACAGAATTTTATTCTCTCATAGTTCTGGAGGCAGAAGTCTGAAATTAAGGTGTCGCTGGGGCCATGCTCCATCCAAAGGTTCTAGGGGAGGACCCTTCTGGGCCTCTTCCGGCGTCTGGTAGCCCTGGGCGTTGCTTGGCTTGTGGCAGTGAATCTCCCATCTCTGTCTCCCATCACATGACCATCTTCTCCCTGGGTGTCCCTGCATCCTCTTCCCTCCGTGTATGTCTGTCCCTGTGTCCAAACTTCCCCGTCTTATAAAGACACCAGTCATACTGGATTAGGCCCACTCTTAATGACCTCATCTTACCTGAGCACATCTATAAAGACCTTATTTCCAAATAAGGTCACAGTCACAGGTACCAGGGTTTAGGACTTCAGCATATCTTTTTTTGGGTGGTGGGGAATTCAACCCATAACACCACCACCTCCATTTTCTTCATCCTCTGTCTCCCATCCCTCCCCTGATCCCTCAGCTCTCTCTGGTCACATTGTCCCTGGAAGGAGGAGGGTAAAAGTCAAGCCTTCAGTGGATGAGCTGCCCCTATGTGCTGGAGCTGTGCTAGAGTCTTAAAGACGCTTATCAATAGTGCTGCAAGTTTATATCATTATCCCCACCTTCCGGAGGAGGCAGCTGAGGCAGGGGTAGGGGGAGCGACCCAGCCCAGGTTACGCTAAGTGACGGAGCTGGTGTTTGCACTCAGAACTCATTGCACACGCCACACTGCCTCACCTGGAGGGGACAGGATGCAGTTGGCCACCTGCCTAGAAATGAGGGGACCCCGGGCAGAGCTCACGGTAGCGTTCCATGCAGTGGAAGGGGACGATGGTCTGTGGGCTTCCAGGGCCTGGCTGGGCCCACTTTTATTTCCAGGTTGATGACGTGCCACCACGAGCCACCCCAGAGCCCCAGGCCTCTGCCATCCACCACTGCAGCCAAGGAAGCTCAAAGCCAACTCCGACCTCCCCGGAGGTGGAGACCGTGCGGGCCCCTCGGCCCCCGCTGGCTCGCTTCTCAAGCTGGCCGAGTGACGTCCATTCTGTCCCAGGTAGCCAGTGTGAGGACTTGGGCCTCTGGGTTCTGAGCCCGCTGCTCCCCTCTTGTCCCCTCTCCTGACTCCTGGAGCTCGTTCTCCCTGCTCGGGGTCGGGTGAGGCCATCCATGGAACACTGGCACCCTGCCTGCACCTGGCCCCTGAGAGCAGCACTGCAGGGCTGGCACCCCAGGAAGCCACATGTGCCCCCCGCAGGGAAGCTCAGGGGAGCAGCTACACTCTGCTCTTGTTTCCCAATAGGGGCCCGACTGGAATGTTTACCCCTCAAGAGCCTGAGGGCCTCTTGTTCCTTCATGAAGAGCTGAGGTTCTTCCAGAACAAAGCACTGCCCGCCGAACTGCCCCCGGCCCTGACCTGGTTCCCAGAGGCCAGAGGGCCTGCAAGGGGCACGTCCAGTGTGGAGGAGGCCCCACGGCCTCACCAGAGAGCAGAAGGGCTTCCTGCTGTGACGGCTTTCCAAGCCTCCCCGCAGCACTCAGTGCCCCCGGCCACGCCAGGAGAAAGCAGGGGGAGCCGCCCCTCCTCCTTGACCAGCACTCCTGCTGGGCCTCTCCACAGCGCTCAGTGCCCCCGGCCATGGGGGCCACCCCACCCTGGCTCGCAGGCCACTCCCCAGGCCCAGCCCGGCCCTTGGTCCTGACAGTTCAGCCATCCTGGGCCTTCAGGAGCGGGCTGAGCTCCCCACCTGCCGCCCCTGCTTCAGAGGCTGGGGGCTCCTCCCCATGAGCCTCCTGACCCTGCAGCACGGTGTCCCAGGAGGCACCTGCTGCTCTCGTCCCCATGTCCCCGCTGCCTTCCTGAGAAGTTGTCCTCCCCTGCTGGCATCGTGTCCCTCACACCCGGGCTCCTGCATCTGGGCTTCTGCACAGAGCATTCCTGGCCCAGGGCGACTGTGTCGGGGGGATGCATGGACCCTCACCACACACACACACATGCACACACACCACACACACACACCACACACACATACCACACACACCACACACCACCACACACACACACACACCACACACACACTACACACACTACACACACACTACACACATGCACACACACGCACACACACACACACCACACGCACACATACCACGCAGAGGCTGGAGTAGGAGCCCTTTCCTCGGCTTTCCCGCACTCTGTCCCTGCTCTGGTCCTGTGACTGGAGCTCCTGAAGCCAGGGACGTGTTTTCTGGTCTTTCTGCCTCTGGTGTCTCGCGAGGACCTGGCAGGGCAGTTCTGGATGACTGTTTGCCGAGAAGTGGGAGGGAGAGACTCCGTCCAGGAGGGGGGGCTTGTTCCCTTGATTCGGGGTCGCCCCACTTTCCTTGTGATCAGTGCAGCTTCCAGGGTCTCAGCTGGCTGGCCGGGCCCTCTGGGCAGGGTAGCTGGCCCCTCTCCTCCCTCGCAGCCCAGTTGGCCCCAAGGGGGAGAACAGGGGCGTCCTTGGTCCTGACTGTCTTCCCAAGACTGCACAGTTGTCCCCTCCCCCTATTTTCTCTAGCTCCCTCCAGCCTCTCCCAGATCCAGCAGACTTTCCAGAGGCCTTTGTGCCCTGGGCCTCCTCTTGTCTAATCCCTGCCGTGGGGACACTGGCCCCCTCGCCAGTGCTTGCTGAGGATTTCCCCTGACTGGGGGGCTCAGGTAGTGGTCACCTTTAAGGTGGTGTCCATGGTGGCCCTGGGGGCGGGGGCATGGTACCCAGGGCTAAGGCAGACAGTTGTCTTCTGGGCGCAGGACAGGGGCACTGTCCCAGGAGGCACTCACACCGGTGAGCTCTTCTCTGCTAATGAAGGTTAAAAGGAAATTTTATGGGGAATTCCCTGGCGGTCCAGTGGTTAGGGCTACACGCTCTCACTGCCGAGGGCCCGGGTTCAATCCCAGTTGGGGAACTAAGATCCCATAAATCCTACAAGCTGCACACCATGCAGCACAGCCAAAAAAAAAAAAGAAATTTTATGGAGCCAGTTGTGGACCCAGACAGGACCTGAAGGGAGAGACGGATCACAGCCTGGAGTCGGATGGCCTGGGTTCCGGTCTCAGTCGGCCTGTTTCTGGCTGATTGCCATGGGCTAGTCATTAATCTCTGGGTGCCTCTGTTGTCTCGTCCATGCTCTGGGGGCAAGTGATGACCAAACGAGTGACCCTGAAGCACAGCACAGGCCTGCGCGTGCACGTATACACACACACACACGGGGCACGACAGACAGTGACTCCCAGCCCCCTCCATCCCGTCCTCATCTCCCCTCGGCAGGTCTGCCGGCGGGGGGCCTCCCCAGTCACGCCCCACCCACCCACTCACCAGAATCGAGGTGGAGATGCCCTCCAAGAAGTGGCCAAAAAGCCAGAAGGTGTCCCTCATGGACCTAACTGGGACCTTGCTCCTCTCAGGCTGAAGGCGTGAAGGCCGAACCCTTTGAAAACCACTCAGCCCTGGAGATCGCGGAGCAGCTGACCCTGTTGGACCACCTAGTCTTCAAGAAGATCCCTTATGAGTGAGTGGGTGCAGGTTCAGACACCCCGCCCTTCCTCCTCGGGCACCGTCTTTGGCTGAATCACCATCCCTGAAGCATGTGCAGTAGATTTCCAGAGATGCATGGATTGATTCTCCACAGCTTGAAACAAAAATGCATGTGCCGGCAGGGATGAGAAAGGATCCCATCCCCTTTCCTGTCCCCAAACTCCGTCCTTACCTACCAGCTACATGCGCGTGCCCGCGCGCGCACACACGCACACACACACACTTTTCCAGAAGCATCTCTAATTCGGCGCTCCTTTCCTGGAGGTCTAGAAAAGGAGTATGTGTTCACGTATGTGCACACATGTGAGCAAATGTGCACACACGCATGAGTGTGTGTCGGTGTGTATGCATGTGCAGGAGCAGACTCTGGGGGGACTCTCTGGACTTTGAAGCAGCCCCAAGGCCTGGTTGTTACCTGCTCTGGCCTGTAGTCAATCACCCCCAGCTGCTCGTTGTAACTATACCACCTACATAATTTTGTACCACCCTTTATTCGCCTAACGGTACACCAAAATGGTATCTGTAAAGACACCGTTTTTAATAAGTGCACAGTATTCCCCAGCAGTGCACTAAGCCGTGGGCTTGTTCCCAGTTTTCACTTTTATGTTTAAAGCTGGGGTAAACCTCCTTGTAACTAAATATGTCTCTGAATTTCTGACAATTGTCCTAGAATAGTTTCCTGAAATTGGAATCACCGCTTCTGAGGTTATGAATCATTGTAGGACTTTTGATCTCTGCTTTCCAGAAAGGTAGCCCCACCTGGCACACACAGAGGCCCCCACTGACTGGGGCACTACCTCACCTAGACAGAGAGTGTCGACATTTTAGAAACCTGCCGCATCTCCTGCATGTAGAGACAGCAGTTATTTCTGACAGTAGTTATTGCTCCCTCCTGCCCATGGAACTCTGTCCAGGCCACTCTCACAGTCACTATCAAATAAGGAGCTTCTCCTGGAGGCCTGGATGGTCTCTGATCCCATGAGGTCACCATTACCAGAGCACGCTGCTGGCTTGGCTTGCAAGCTCCTTTATACTTCCATGTGGCCCTTTTTTGTGGCCTTGTGTCCTCCCTGTTCTACAGACCAGCTTCTGCAAGGTGACTTTAAAACGGGAGCTCTCCCATTCAGAAACAAGATCCAAAACAAGATCTGATGTGCCCATCGCACCATATCTCATTTCAGCCTTACGATAACCCTGTAAGAAAAGTATTGTCACTATTCCCGTTTCACAGATGAGGAAACTGAGGCCCCGAGATATCAAGGGCTTACCCAAAGCCACACAGCTGGTACGAGGCAGAGCTAGACCTGACCCCAGGGTCCCTTCCTCTCGAGGGCTCTGCAGAAAGTTACTCCCCAGAAATGACAACTTCAAAAAGCAGAGAACTCAAAGCAAAGAAATCAGCAAGGCAAACCTAACCTCATCCACCCTGGGTTTCTCCCTTTCTCCCTACAGGGAGTTCTTTGGACAAGGATGGATGAAACTGGAAAAGAATGAAAGGACCCCTTATATCATGAAAACCACTAAGCATTTCAATGATGTGAGTATGGGGGTAGGGGAGCGGGTGCAGTGCCTTTCTCTGCAGGTTTCTCTTCGGTGAGACCCTCAGACCACCTGGGTCCTCTCCAGCTCTGTGATTCATGGGCATGATAATTTCATTTAAAGCTCATGCCCATCCTAAAAGATGGGGGCTGTTATCACACTTTAGATACAAAGAAACCGAGACTCTGAAGGGCAGACGCCTGAGGTCTCCTGACCAGTGTCTGGTAGCTCGTGGCCTTCCTCTGCTCTACAGCCCCAGCCAGAAGGAAGGAATCTCTCCCGGCAACTTCCCCGCATTTGCCCAAGCTCCAACCCCTGCAGCCGCAGGGAGCTGTCTACCCCCAGCCTTGTGACCGCCTTGAGGGCATTTGCATTCAGCATCTTCATTCCTCTGTTGATGAATTTAACCGTCAACACAAGAGCTTTTGACGGCCGGAAGTGGAGGCATATGAGTTCACTAGTCCTGACCGCCTGGTCAAGGCCGCATCATGTCACGCACAGCCGGGGGTGGACCTTCATCCTGGGAAGGTCCTCGGCAGCCTGGAGGAAACAAGGAGGACCCAGGTGTTGCAGCTCAGGGGAGGAGCCCGACAGGGAACACAGCCGTAGAATGGAGAGCAGGATGTATAGCAGGAGAGAGGAAGCGATGGATGTGGGCGAGGCCCCAGGAAACACACACAAGGCCTGAGTCGGACGACGCCTGACCCAAAAGTCCAACCACAGCCCCAGGCAGCCATAAAAGTCCCTCTCCGGGGACTTCCCTGGTGGTCCAGTAGTTAGGACTCCACACTTCCAATGCAGGGGACGTGGGTTCCATCCCCGGTCGGGGAGCTAAGATCCCACGTGCCGCACCGCGCGGCCAAAAATAAAAAGTCCCTCCCTCTCCCCCCGCTCCCACCCCCTCCCCCAGTGTGTGCCCAGGAATCACATAAGTAAAAGGTGAGAATATGAAGTGAGCATTTATTGAATGTTGACCATGTGCCAAGCACTATGCCAAGGGTTTCGTAAGCATCATCTCATTTAATCCTGTTATTCTCATTTTTGTCTAATTCTCTGTTATCGATGAAGAAACCGAGGCTCAAGGGAGTTAAATTTCACCCCCAGTCATCAGCAGGAGAGCCTGCTTTGAACCCACACAATCCACCTCCAGAGGGCTACCCTCATCGCTACCTGGCATTTGGCCATCTCTGTTAAAATCCACCTTCCTTTGTTTTCAGGTACACAGCATGTGTACCTCTTTGAAGGTGATATTCATGGCCTGAAACTCTGTTTCTTAATCTCTCCCTGACACAGGGTTTGGTTTTGTTTTGTTTTTGCTCTTTCCCAGTCCTGTTGTCTTTAATTCTTTATCTTATTGATTGGTACTGGCTAGGATCTCCAGTATCAGGGCTAGAACTAGGGTAAGTTGAACGAGGTGCTCAGGGGGCAAAATTTAAGGGACTGTTCACCCTTGAGTGCATGCCCTTGCACCCTGGGTGCCTCCAGACCTGGCCCTTTATGACAGTGTTCAACAGAAATGGTGAATCTTGTTCTTGGTTTTAAAGAGAATGCTTCTAATATTTCCCTGCTTAGGATAATGTTTGTTTCTTTATCCAGTTAAAGAAATTCTTTTTCTTATTCCTTGTTTGCTCATAGTGGTTTTTACTATAAATGAATACTGCATTTTATCAAAATTTTTTCTGCATCTATTGAGATGGTCGTATGGTTTTTCTCCTTTAAATCTGTGGATGTGATGAATGACAGTTACAGAGTTTTCTCTAATATTCAACCATCCTTGTGTTCCACGGGCAAATCTAAAATATTCATGTTATATTAAACAAATGGATGTGTAATTTTTCCTTCTTGTATTTTCTGTATCTGGATTTGGTATCAAGATTGTACTGGCTTCATAGAATAAATTGGCAGGTATTCCTTTTTTCTCTCTTCTCTGGAAGATTTGACTACTCTATTCCTTTAAAAAAAGTTATATAACATATGTAAAACTGTTTTGAATTCAGTGTTTTCTTTATGGAAAAAAAATACTACTTCAATTTAATTAAGGTTTATAGTATGTGTGCTATTTTGTACTACCATTCCTCCCGGATTCTCTTCAGTAGTTCTCCCTTCTTAAATAGTTTTATAATTCATTCTTCTTTATATACATCCTTTAGAAATTTTTCTAAAGAAGAATATTTCTGGGTGGTAAAGCCCTACAATTTATATTCATTGGTAACTGTCCTTTAATCACCTTTATTTTTTTAATAACAAGTCGTGTTTTTTGTACTTTTTTTAAAAATAATTATTGATTCATAGGAAATTGCAAAGAAATGTACAGGGAGGTCCAGTATTTCCTGCTGCCCCAGTTCCTTGTGGTTGTAGCTCCCTGATGCTTTGGCCCCAGCTTCCTACCCCCTGGCTGCTCCAGATCCAGTCCACATTTAGTTTGCTTGTGTGTATGTGATTGTTTGCCGTGCAGGGATAGAGTAGTCCTTGGATATGTGAGACCAGGGATGCCCCAAAGTGTGTGTCCTATCCAAGATTTAGTTGTATGGTGGGAGTTTCCCTCAGAGCTTGGCTCTTCTTAACTCTAAACTTCAGAATTACTTTGTCAAGTTTTCAAGATAACTCCCATTGCATGTTTTATTGGATTGCATTAAACTTGTACATTAGTTTTGAAAAAAGACATATTTACCTTTCCATTTTGGAATCTAATCTTTTTCTTCATTAATCAATTCTTTTATTACCTTTGGTAATAAAAGCTATTTTTATTTATTTTTCATGTAGCATCCTACATAGTTCTCATTACAGGTCCCAGGTAATTTACAGATTCCCACTGGTATTTTGAAGATGGTATCTTTTTTCATTGTATTTTCTAATTGGTATTGCTAATATATAAAAAAAAATTATTTTGGTATATTGAGTCTTTAACCAGCTACCCTAATGAGCTCTGTTGGTTGTTCTGGCAGTTTTCCAATTCATTCTTCCAGGAATTTTCAAACAGACAATCATTTAATCTGCAAATAATGGTGATTTATCATCTTTACAATACTTACTCCTTTTACTTTTTTCTTATCTTATTGCATGGGCTTAAAGATCAGTAACTTGATTGCTTCAGAAATCATCCGCAATGAGGACATCAATGCGAGGGTGAGCGCCATCGAGAAGTGGGTGGCTGTGGCTGACATATGCCGATGCTTACACAACTACAATGCTGTTTTGGAGATCACCTCATCCATGAACCGGAGCGCGATCTTCCGGCTGAAAAAGACATGGCTCAAAGTCTCTAAGCAGGTGCGGGCAGGAAGCCAGCTTGGCCTGATGGTCTGGGCTGGGGCTGGGGTGGAGAGACCAGAGGGCCACCATCCATAGGTGGATGAAGGACAGGGTGAGGGCCAGTACTCCCAGGTAAAACAGAGAACCTCTTCTCCTATTTTACCTGGGACCAGATGTCAGGCCAACGGATGTGGCACTAGGACCTTGTGGGACTTTAATTCCCACTTGAATAATCAATATGCCAAAGTGGGATATAGGACAGTGATTATTGGTCCCAACACTCTTTTCCTTGAGTTGGGACAAAAGAGTGGTGACTTCTTGGGGATCTCAGTCCAGATCTGCAGGTTACCGAGATGGTGGCCAGATGATCCTGCAAGTCCTTTCCTCGGATGTTGATTTCAGCAGCCCTTCTGGCCCCCAGAGAGTTAACTTGTCCCTGTTACCCGTTAGTATGTGATCTTAAATATGGGCTTGATCTTTATTCACTCAGAACCTGATTCTGAAAAACCATAAGGTGGAGTCTTCCTCAGGAATAAAGCTCCTTGCCCTGGGGTCATGAGGAGGCAGCTCTCCTGAAAGGAGAGCACAACGGGACACTTAGGCCACCTCCTTTCTGGGTGCACTGGATGTCCCAGCCCCAGCCTGCATGTTGGCAGAAAGCTGGACAGTGACCACCAAGGGACAGGGTAAACCTCCAAAGGCACCAGTAACTTGGTTATAGTGTCTCTGGTCCTACAGCCAGGTGGGCTGTGTGGGGCCCAGGGTCTCCAAGGGGCCTGTCCCATCTGGGCCATTCTGGACTTACCCCCCTCATGGTTCTGTTTCTCCCCTGCCCCTCACTACTCTCCTCGTGCCAATGGCAGGGCATGATTCTACTCCCCAGGCAGGCAGCAGGTCCATAAATCCCTCCTACTTAGATAAGCAGCCAATCTCAGGACAGCCCTGGGACATCTCTGCTGCCCTTCCGCTGCCAGCCAATCACTGCAGCTCCGGATTACAGCAGGACTGCAAAGTACCCCTTGCATCCAATGAGGCTGGGCCTCTTGCTTAGCACACAGAGATGCCAGGATCAGGACGAAAACCAGAAGATGTCTCTCTTGTGAGCAGGCTTCTAGAAAGAACAGAGGCTGGAAGTGCGGGAGCTCAGGTGAGCAGGCACATCTGGCCACACGTGGCACACAGTGTCATGAACTCCCGAAGTCAGGGGTTGAGCAAGGCTGCCACAGAGCCTCTAAGTCATCTAGGCTGATCGGCCTGTCGAGGTTCAGACGTGGCTATGGGCAGAGTCTGAGGGACCCATTTCAGATCAGCATCTTTCTTCTCCCGCCCTATTCCATCAGAATGATGTCATCTTTTCTAGAAGCCCGCAGACCAGGCTCCATTTTCCTACCCCATTTCTGGGGGTGTGGGAATTTCTTGGCTTCATTCCCCAGCATCACCCTTGTCATAGAGTTGGAAGGGAACGGCCTTGACCATCCTGAAGTCTTCCATTCTCTGAGGAGAGTGCAAATGGAGGGCAGTTAGAGGTCAAGGTGTGTGATCTGGCCTGCCTTCCAGGATGTCATTCAAGGCCTAGGGCCAGCCAGCCTGGTCCAAAAATCAAAGATGCCTCTGAAAACACATCTAGGCCTGCACCCTCTATGGCAGACTGGACCACACTGGCTTCTCCCAGCCCTTCAGTTTGTGCTATAGCTGTCCGTGTGCATAGTGCCCGGCTCCAAGAGCTTCTGGGTAGTAGCCATGGCCGTGGCCTGGTCAACACCAACCAGGAACAGTTCGCTGTCCCTCTGCAGGTATCCCATAGGCCAAGATGGCCACATTTCTGCAGCTAGTTTTTTTTTTATCATTCCCTTCAATGTGCCAGCCCAAAGCAGAAAAGCCTGTGTCCAAGTCCAGTCTAGCCTCGGCAAGAGTCAGAACTAGTTTGGGATGTCCGGTGCCTCCCCTTTCTTCTTCCAACCTCTCTTCCCGTCCTCTTTGAAAATAAAAACTTTCCCTCGGGAAAGGATCGGGTGATGCATCTCCATAGGATGGTGCAGATGACTGATGCAGTTAGATGTGTTTCCTCTCCCTGGAACGGTTGGATTTCAGTAGAGACATAAGCCTCTCTTTGACTAACTATACTTTTTGGCTTCTTTGGAAGGAGCAGCCTTGGCCATCCAGAAGTCTTGTTTGGTGAACAGGAAAGGATGGTATTTAAGAGGCCATATATAATCATCTTTCGTCCTGACACTATTTCCAAGGCAGGCTCCTTGCTTGGTCTCTGGTTTCAGAGACGTATTCCAAGTGCCCCCATATTTCGACTCCCTGGTGTCCATACTCCAGCAGAGATGCCCAAGGCCCCAGGGGGCCTGCTATCCCAGTGAGCCTCAAAGGATGGAAGCTCCTGGCATGGCCAGAAGATGCTTGAGCTGCTTCAAGTCAGAACACGCTTTCTAAGCAGCAGCTGGGAAAATCCAGTGGCCTCCCAGGATACAAATCTCCTTCCTGGACAGAGAGCAATAACCGGAAGAGGAGCAGACACACGCCTCAAGTAAGCACGCAGGTGCGGAAGAAATCAAAGTGTGCCCACCTCAGAGCCACAAATTGGCCGCAAGTGTATGCAAAAACCCCACCCACCAGAATATCCTTTGTACCTTTTCATGGTCTCTAAGCGTGGTGATGCTTCACCTGGAGCTACGTGGCTGTGTAGCTTTTATGTCACCCACACTTCTGGACTGTCTGAACGAGTATTGCCCTTAAGGAACACCTGGACCTACCCTCCCATTTTCCAGATACGAAGGTCAAAACCTAGCAAAGTGAGTGGAGTGGCACCTTGCCCACGGGCATGCTGAGGGTGGGCGACAGAGTCCACTGAGGGCTCTGGACACTCAGACCCCACATCTGGCCTCAAGCTGCAGCATCTCATGTCTCTGCAGGTGGAGGGGAAAGAAGAGGATGCAAGAGCACAGCTCTGGAAAGAGATTAAGTGCAGGAGGGCCGTTGAGAGCCTGGGGTGGAGGTTGGCCTGGGCGTCTGAGAAGGGTCATCGCAGGTGAAAGCAGAATCATCTGTCCTTGGCTTGGTGGGGCTTGTTCCATCCTGGCCTGCGGCTCTTTCACCAGATCCAGAATAAATTTTTGCTTTGAGCGGGGTCAGTCCAAACCAGGCGACAAGACTTCGGATTGATAGGAGGGACCGAGCAGGTGGGTCTGCTCTGCCATCCTTTCTCCTTGAAGAGTACACACCGACCTCTTCTTCCATCAGAAGGAAGATTTAGCTTGTCGTCTTCTGCAGGCAGTTTTCTCAGATAAAAATTAGACCCGACGATCAGGGGTGTACTTGGCCTCTGTGGCCAGTGTCCCCTCCAGGCTGACTAGCCCCTCTGGTAATAAGATGCACGGCTGGTCTCCGGCCCGGTTTCTCAACCACATTCTGGATTCTGAGGATTAGAGCTGGAAAGGTGGTCACTAGTCATCTCCCCGTTTTATGAATGAGGGCGCTGAGGACCTCAGAGGTGAAGGGGTTTACCCAGGTCACGCAGGAGAAGCACAAAGCCAGGCTCCACCCAGGACATGCTCTGAGGCACACACCTGGTCCCTTAAGACAAACTCCAGCCACCCAAGTTGCTCCGGCCTGATACGTCGGCAGGGCCTGGCCTGGTCATTTGGCAGATGGGACCCTTTGCTGCAGGGTTTCTTCTTCTCCATCAAAGTCTTTTCTCCTTTGATGATCAGTTCACCTGCCATCTTTTTTTTTCTTGATTCTTAAATCTGGGTGGTGCTCCCGATATAGCAAAGTGAAGGTATGAGAAGATGGTCACACCTTTTGGGTACAGGCAGAAAGATCACGATGATGAAGCATCGGCCACGCCCTGTATCGGGTCCAGGTCCCTGGAGTTACCCCCGCCAAGTCCTTCCCAACCACCCAGGTCTCAGGGCCCTGACACTTGGACCCTCCTGACCCTACTCCCATGTTTCTGAAAGATGTATGAACACGGGCAAGCAAAACAAAGATCCGTGTCTGCCTCCTCAGGAGTTCAGGGTCAAGTCCCCAGACCCAGGAAGTCCCCAAATCCCCGTGCCCTATCTCGAGGAGGCAAAGCAAAGCCCTGGAGTGTGGGCCAGAGTCGCGGGCCTTGATGTGTGCTATGTGCTAGTAAATACTTCTAATTCCTTCTAGACAAAAACTTTGATTGATAAGCTCCAAAAGCTTGTGTCGTCAGAGGGCAGATTTAAGAATCTGAGAGAAGCTCTGAAAAAGTAAGTGTGTGTCATTTTGTCACCGTTATTTTTTAAATTGTAGAACCACACTGCAGAGGCATTCACGTGCCACCCCTGGCTGGAGCAGGAGGTCTGTCTGTCTGTCCATCTGTCTACCCACAAGACCGACCCCTACACATCCCAGACCCCCAGGGCAGGTCAGCTTTGTCCTCCATCTTCTACCAGAGAAATTCCAAGGTGTCAGGGCATTTCCCAGGAGAGGCACGGGAATAGTCTTGAGACGTGCAGTCGCTGTGATGCTGATAATAGTGGTTCCGGATTCCTTGATTCCAAAATGCACATTTTATTTTACATTTTACCATTTCTGACATCAGGATACATCTCACAGTCAGTGTATTTATTTCGTATGATTGTGTTTCCTTTTTGTACTGGATAATTAGTCATCAAGACAAGAGGGCATTTTACACAGCATGGCATCTTGGAATCAAAGAAATACGGTTTTACCAGTAATTTACACCTTACAGTTTGCAAAGTTTGTGCCCTGCCTGGCCATGGTGTGTGCAGCCCCATTAACACTGCCTGGGAGGTGGGCCTTCTCAACCTCGGCCTTCTTTAGAAGGCCTTTAGACCAGGATTTTTTTTTTTTTTTTTTGCCACACCCCGCGGCATGTGGGATCTTAGTTCCCCAGCTAGGGTTCAAGCCTGCGCCCGCTGCAGTGGAAGTGCAGAGTCTTAACCATTGGACCATCAGGGAGGTCCCTAGACCAGGACAGTTTTTGTCGTGGGGACTGTCCTGTGCATAGAAGGATGTTTCGCAGCATCCCCGGCCTCTACCCATGAAACGCCAGTGCCCGCCCCCCCCCCCCCCCCCCCCAGTTATGATAACCAAGAAGGTCTCCAGACATGGCCAGCTATCCTCAGGGAGGCAAAATCGCCCCCGTTGAGAACCACTGTTGTGAGACAGATTCTCCCATGATGTTTCTCCAGACAAGGACACAGGAATTAGTGGCTGGCCCAAGGATTTGGGGCCGTGGTGACAGAGCCGGGCCTCGGCCCAGGCTGGCCTCCCAGGCCAGTGCTCCACGGTTTGCCCGAGGTTACCTCCCATGAGGGTCCAGGCCAGCTCTCCCAGGGCAGCGGTGACTCGGCCCGTTGGTACGTGCTGCGGCCACGTGCGCACGTGAAACGTGGGTTTGCTCACTCTGGTGAGACGCGCACTTGGGGTTTCTCCACCAGTCTCCGCCACTGTGTTCCCCTCGGGCACTTGAACGTGTGCCCCGTTGGGCTGGCCCTCACCCTCTCTCTCCCTGCCTGGCTGGCTACTTGCTGGACTTTGGAGAGACCCTGGGAGACCCCATAGGGTCCCGGCTCCTTATAGAGCCCGGGAATGCCTTTCCTCCCTTCCGCGAGGGATCACGCGCTCACTGCCAGTACAAGGCCTCTGAAGTCCGCGACCACCCAGCACGTCCAGCCTCGCCGGTGGCTCTGACACACCACACACCCGCCCTGCCAGCCCCGTCTGCCTTTCTCGTTTTCTTCCTGCCGTGCCTGGTCTGTCCCTTGTGCCGGCTCCGTGTGCCATTGCCTTGACCATCTCCACTTTATTTGTGTCCTCAGACAGATGTTCCACCCATCTGTGCTGTCCGGCCGTCTCTCCTCCGCCTGGGCTCTGCGGAGCCCCTGTGGATTGTGCTTGCGGGGAGCTGCCCCCCCCCGTGCATTCACCAACCTGTCCGTCCGCCCGCAGGGTGCTCTGCTCCATCTGCCTCCTTCACATGGCTTCCTCGTCCACCGCCGCCGCCGCCTCCACCGCGTCCGTGGTCCCCCATTCTGTCCGAGTCCCCATGCTGACTGTCTTCCCTCTTTCAGGTTACCCGTGGGCCTATGTAAGTGCCTCTCCCAGACGCCTCTGCTCCCTGCCACACGGGGCGGAGGTGGCCTTCGGGCATCTGGGCGCTAAGACCTTTATGCAAACCGGGTTCCTGCCTTATGGAGATATAGGCCAAGCCAGGCAGGGGAAGGACAGATTGGGGCAAACGTGTCTGCACTCTTTCTTCGGAGGCACTAAGGTTTATACTTAGAGCGGTGTTGTGTCAGGGTTTGGGGGTCGTCTCACCAGGCAGGGGACGGGCCGGAGGGAGTGCAGTGAGGTGGTGGGCACAGCAGGTGACCCACCCAGACAAGGAGCCCGTGACGGACCCCACCGCGTAAGTCCTCAGACCCATTCTGAGGTCCTGGGCATCCTTTTTCGCCTGTCATTATATCATTCAGCCTTGTGCCAGCAGCCGGGCTAGCACGTGACCTTTTCCCTTTACCCCCCAATCCTGTCTCCCGTCCCCGGCCACTCTCTTAAATATCCCCTGGCCCACCTACAGTGCTTCAGTCCCCTGCCCGGGCGCCCCCAGATGAGCGCCTTATCTACCCTTCTCATTCCCCAAACCACACCCTGGTCCAACCCATGAGACTGTCCCCTCCTCTCAGCCACCCAGGGACCGGAACCTTCCCACAGCTCCAGCCAACAACATTTGGCTGAGGGCTAACTACGTTCGGCAGTAAAATGTGGTCAGCAGCTCTTTGGGGGCCAGCTCCGGTTTTGCCCGTCCGTCTCTGACGGGCTCATCTGTGCCTTTGTCTTTAGCTTGAATAGGATGCCCGCGGAAGGAGCGCAGGGGCCGGGCTCTCACTGCCAGCTGCTACCAGGAAAGCCCTCCCGTCTGTTCCCGTCAGTGGAGGATGGGAACAGCTCTGGAGGGGCGAGTCTGCTAGCGGACCAGCAGGTCACCACGCAGCCGCCTCCAAACGGGGGGGAACATCCATCTATCTACGTGGATATGATGGATCCAGAGTCCTGGAGTTCCAGAGTCTCAGGGGCTCCGACAAGGCCAAATACCCGTTTCCATCTTTATTTTCTGTCTGTGGCCACAGAGCAAAGCCCAGTCTCTTGCTAATGAGACAACAGAGCAGGGAGTATCCAGGAGGCAGAAAGCAAGACTGGACCCCGAGTCCCACCCACACTGCCAACACATTGCCAAAAAAAAAAAAAGAAAAAGAAAAAAAAAATTTTTTTTTCCATAACCTGAGTACCTGATTTCCCTGCACCCCATGCCAGAACTGAGACCTGTAAGAGAGAGCAGCCCATCCCACGGCTGTGACGGGGTGAAGGAGAGGGCTGACCCGTGCCGTCACCGCCCGTTTCCTGGGGTCAGGTGGAGCGCCCCTCGGGCAGCTGCATCTCACTTTGTCGCCAGTACCAGTTAATTTCTTTCATCCCCCTTGACATCAGCAGGAATTTCTTGGTAGAAACATCAAGTGCGGGGGCCCCAAACAACCACAGACAAGATCCAGATGTCAGGTGTCACCCCGTCTAGGCCTGCCCGGAACGCCAGGAGCAGCTTTTAGGATGGGGGACGGGGCACTTCTCTTTCTGCTCCCTGAAACGTCAGACACAGGCATGGCAGAGCTCTGCCAAAAGAGGAAGCGCCCCACACACACACACAATTTCAGCCTTGTTGGCCCCGCCCTGATCCAGGGCAAGGCCAGATCCCTCCTGACAGGGGCCAGATGCCCACACGGAAAGTTCAGAGCTAGCCATAGGTTGGGTGTTTTGCCTACACGAAGCCCCTACCGTGCTCCCCTGCTCGCTCAGATGCTCAGCACGGTCTGTCTCCATGCAGTGGGGCCCTTTGGGGGCCCTCCACCAGCCCCGTGTCCCCCACACCTGTCCCCACCGCCCCCTACACTGGCCACTCCGACAGCCCCATATATTTACCTACGTGGCTCTGGATTTGGGTTGGTTGGGTGTGCGTGTGTGTGCGTGTGTGTGTGTACATGGCTGAATTAAGAGTGGTGTTCCCTGGACCCCTCACCGTGAAGGTAGTAAACAGGAACAGGGTTTGGTGCTGGGGCTGGCAATGCCACTTGCAGTGACTAAATTGCCCGTCCATCACCTTTCCACAACTGGATCAGAAACCCCAGTAAACACCTCAGGGAGATCCACCTCCCTGGGAGACCAAAGGACTCCCAGACTTTTTTCACTGGTCTGGGTGGTCAGAGCCCCTGTGAGGCATCCAGAAACACCCTGCGTCCTTCAGTCATTCGCAGGCAGCGAGCAGCACCCAGCCTCCACTTCTGCCTCTATCTGAGATAAGAGAGGTCCTTTGAGCTCTGCGGGCTACCTGGTTCCCATTAAGGGCAGGGGGAGTGTGGCGCCCCCCAGAACCTGCCGGTCAGCACAATGCCTCAGCCGTCCAGCTCCAGAGCGGCTGCTCAGACCTTTGAACTCTTTCTCCATCAGATCCACCAGCCTGTGCTCCAGACTTGGAGTTTGACGGAAAGGAAGTGAAAAGCCAGGCATGTAGAAGTCATGGACTATAATGGCCAGAAGGACCCAGAGAGGTCTGCCAGTGACCAGTATGATTCTTGCTTTTTTTTCTTTTTCACAACTCACAGTAAAAAAAAAAAAAAAAATTGCATTTGACAGTGTGACCCTATATACAAATGCATATATGCATAACAGCAACAAAAATTTCACAAAGCAATTTTAGTCCATGCAATGAACCCAGATATCATCTATTCTCTCTTTTTTTTAATTAAAAAAAAATCTGGTCAACACTCACCAAATTGGTTTTAACACCCATGAAAGGGTGAAGACCGACAGTTCAAAAAACATTTCTCCTGCTCACTGTTTCCCGAACTCCAAGCATCCACCTCCTTCAAGACTTTGCCGTATCCATGTGTCAGCTATATTTGCATTTACTTAATGGTCTCCTTTAAATTAACTCACTATTTCCCAGAAATACATTTAAATAAGAAGGAAAACTCTATACAGCAAATGGGAAACCAGCGTATTTGCCATAAATACACAGGTTACCATAAAAAATAAATACAATGAAATCAAAATAATATTATTAAATTCTGGCCAGATCCTGGTGCTTCCTGAGTGAGACCTGTTACTATTTGTTCAAAAAGAAAAAAAGAGGAAAACGGCACGTGTTAGAAAGTGTCAAAGCTATGCTGTCACCAAATGAGCTCTCTCCTTGAGCAGTGGTGGGGGGGGAGGGGGGAGTGAAAATCTAATGTTTCTTATCATATGAATCAATTTATTTAAACAGTGTCTGGGCATCACCTAAAATCAACTCTCAAATCACTTAAAATTGTCTTAGCTAACATCAGTTCTCTGGTACGAGGGGAACCTGAGGACCAGAGAGGGAAAGAACTGGCCTAGGGTCACACAGCAAGCAGGCAAGGGACAGAGGCCAGGTTTCTGTTCTTGCTCTACCATCCTCCCTGCCTCCCCTTCCTCTGGAGTGGCAGGACTGTCACAAGGAGACAAAGGTGAGATGGGCTAGAAAGGCGAGTCCCTGTACCTGTGTGCTGAGCTGAGAGAAGGCTTCGGAGCACTGTTTGAGGAGTCCCCTGGGCGAACTATCGGGAGCTCTGCCAGAGTAGAGTGACCACTGGACCCATTACAGAGTCACCCCCTTAACCTAGCACCCCACCCAGAGGCACCAGAACAAGTTGTGCAGGAACAGTAACAGGAGCCCCTGCTTCAGAGCCACAGATCAGAGAGGTCCGGCCCATACTGCTGAGTACCATCCCCACGAAAGCCATCCCCAGGAGCCACCGATCGTGGGAGCCGTCTCACCCAGCGCCCCCGCCCAGAAGCCAAATCCAGGATGGTGATCTCCGAGGGCAAGGTTTCCCTGAGCTGGCAGCCCAGTGCTTGGATGGGCAGAGATCCCAGTGGGGAAGAAGTAAAGGGAGAGAAGTCTTGGGGAAAGAAAGAGACAAGGGGCTCGGTGGGGTGGCTGGTGGTGACTGGCAGGAAAGGGCACGGTGCTGTGAAGCCCCCCAGGATGTGATTCTAGGGCGGGATCGGGATGGAGAGTTTCAGGGGAGAGACAGAAAGGAAAGGCGAGCTGGGAGGGGGCTGGCGGCCAAGCCCCAGGGCTCCATCTGGGAGGGAGAGCGGAGAGGTAGAGGAGGGCCTTCTGGCTTGGGGTGGGAGGGGTAAGTGATTGAGACGCCCCAGGCCCCAGCAGGCACCATGCCACCCCCACCACCCCGGAGGACTGACCCTCACACCCAGCTGACAATCCAAGTCCCAAGAGCTGCTATTACTCTTGGCGAATAGAAATCCCTTTCCCTCCAGCAAAGCGAGAGATGCATGCGGGGTGTTCTGTTCTTGGTAGAGGCTCGAGTTTTTAAGTGAAAAACTTCTGTTAACGCCATTTGCTTCAAAGTTGTGACCCACCCTGTGTCCCTTACCTGGGGATGTACCTCACTGACCTGGCCTTCATCGAAGAGGGAACGCCCAACTACACGGAGGACGGCCTGGTCAACTTCTCCAAGATGAGAATGGTGCGTTCCCCACAGCAGAGCGGGGCAGGGGTGGGGGGACATCAAAACCCAGACCCAAGCCCCGGGCTCACCCGAGCTGTGCCCGACAGGCCTGGCTGAATGGACACGGCACACGCACTGGGGAGCCTGAACCCAGCTTCTCCAGTAAGAACAGTCACTTCCTCAAACGAGCAGCTAGCATATGGCAGGCCCTGAGCCAGCTCTACCTGCATCTCCTCCTTTAATGCGCACAGTCTGAGGGGTGGGTGCTCTTATTATTCTCCACCTTACAGGTGAGCAGGCTGAGGCTTGGAGTAATCAATGACCAGCCCAAGGTCACCCCTAAGGAAAAGGCAGAGCCGGGTCTGGGGCCCAAGTCTGTCAGACTCCAAAGCCTGCCCCTTTATTCGCACCCCATCCATTATTGTTCAGATAAGCACTTGTGTTATGTGGCCACAGCAAAATCATTTCTGCAGCACCTCCTAAGCAAGTAGGTTTCCAGTTTCCCCAGAGGAGTCTAGACCCTGGGAGGGGAGATGAGGATCCTTCCAGCAGGGAGCCTGCTTTCCAGCCAACCTTCTCGTCTTCTCACTCCAACTAGAGAGCCTCTATTTGTATTGGTTCTGTGTCATGGGGTCCCTCCTGAGATTTTGTTCAATAGGTAAGGTTTCTCTGTCAAAGGCAAGTTGGCAGCACTGACCTGGGAACAGGATGGGGGAGCCCCTTTGTGTGGTCTTGCACATGGTGGGCACGTAGAAAGTGGCAGAGGCCTTTAGCTGTTGCTGGAATTGAGGGGGACTGTTTTAGGATGTTGGATAAGCCAGCACTACTGATCAAATCATATGTTTTTCTCTTAATCACATAGTATAATTAACCTCTAGATTCTTTTTTTCTTTTTAGCAACAAAAATCACTCACTTATTTTCATTACTCAGAGAAAATGATTGGTAATTTTCTTTTACTGTATTATCTCTGAGTCTTTAAAACAATTCTTTCTTCATCATCTATCATGTGACCCTACTAAATACACTTTTTACCTTTCAGAATATGCATCTTTTTTATTGAAGTATAGTTCATTTACAATATTGTGATAGTTTCAGGTATATGACATAGTAATTCAGTATTTTTATAGATTATGTGACTGGATAAAGAAGATGTGGTGTATACAAACACACACACACACACACACACACACACACACACACACGGAGAAAGAGGAATGTTATTCAGCCATAAAAAAGAAGGAAATTCTAAGAGGTACAAACTATTGCTTTGGCTAAGAAGTTAGTTCGGTTACTGAACACGTTGTTCAGTAAAGTTCTTGGTAAAAATGAAAAATGTGTCTTTACTTGAAACCGAACGAACTTTTTCGCCAACCCAATATTATGTATAAAATAAGCTACAAGGTTATGTTGTACAACACGGGGAATACAGCCAATATTTTATAATAGCTATAAGTGGAGGATAACCTTCAAAAATTGTGAATCACTATATATTGCACCTGTAACTTATATAATATTGTACAGCAACTATAGTTAAATAGATAAATCAATTGCATGAAATTCTGCCATTTGCAACAATGTGGATGGACCTAGGGGGTATTATACTTAGTGAAATAAGTCAGAGAAGGACAAATACTCTATGTCATAACTTATAACCTGAAGATGTATAGATTCTTACCAAGTGTCAGCCTTTGAGGCAGGTGGCTGGTTTAAAGAAACTCTCGCTGCCTCAGTGGGGTCTCCCAGGAGGTGAATTAAGAGACTGGCTGCAGACATGGCTGTTGATGTCCCTTCTGTTGTGTGGCATGGGTTGCGGGGGAGGGGGGGTTGGGGGAGGGGGTACTAAGAGAAAACTGTCTTCCAAACCTCTCCTTCCTTCCCGCAGATATCCCATATCATCCGAGAGATTCGCCAGTTTCAGCAAACTGCGTACAAGATAGAGCACCAGGCAAAGGTAAGCCGGCAGCATTTCCAGTCACTTCCGCTTTTTCACAAGGGCTCTGGCTGCACTGCCTTCCTCCCTGCCTTTTCCGCTCCACACCCAACCACTTTCTGCCCCGGAGTTCCCTGGGCCCTCTCTTTTCGGAAACCCTTCTTGTCCCCTGTCCCCTGACCCGCCCTGAGTTCCCCCTCCTTTGGACTGCGCTTGTGCTAATCTTTCAGCTCCTGTCTGATTTTTACCTGCCATGGGATGGTTTATAATCATGTCTGACCTCCCCTGAGGCAGGAGAGGCAGTGTTTATCACATCTTTTCGAACTGCTCACCAGTTTCAAAATTCACAGCTAGAAAGGGCACACAGCAAAAAGTCCCCCAGCCTCCAAGTTCCCCTCCCAAAGCCAACTGTATCACCCATTTTTTGTGTGTGTATGCAAACACACGCCAACTTTTTTTTTACTATGATGTATACTGTAGCATACTATACATTGCTTCAGCATCATTCCTTTTTCCCTTAATAACATATCTTGGAGATATTTCCTGTTGAGGCAGAAGCATTCTCCTTCTTCCTTACGGCTGCAGAGAAATTCATGTATTTATTCGATCCTCCATACTGATGGACATTTAAGTTGTTTCAGTCTTTTGCTGCTATAGACAAAGTGGGGGAGAAAACACCTTGTACATTCGGGAATCAGAGAGTGCTGTGAGAGTGTGAATCCAGGGGCCTGTACTGGGGTTGGGGGACAGGGCCCATCTGAGAAGCACAGAGACCGCAGACAGCCGCTATGAGTAGCCTCAGACAAGCCTGAACCAGGTGGGACTGTGGGCTTCTAGAAGGATCTGGAGCCGTGTCCTAAGGAGAGTGGGAAGCCCTGAAAGGAGCTTACAGGACTGGATTAATACGCATTTTTTAAAAGGTGGTGGGGCTGTATGGAGAGAGGTTGGCATGTTAGTCTCATTTCACTACTCAAACCCTGTGCCGTTAGCCCCATTTTACAGTTAAAATAACTGGGACTTGCTAATCCAGACTCTGGCTCCGAATCCTATGACTTTTTTACGCTGCCCAGAGACGTATTTGCTTCCCATCCAGCTTCTTAACCTCCTAGTTTGAAGTTCACAAAAAATATCCAGCTCCAGACACACTCCTGAACATACCAGAAGATCAAGCTCTTAGTATTTGTCCCTTCTACTTTCCTTTGTGATAGACTTGCCCTGTTTCCTGCCACGTCCTGTGACCTCACTGTCTTACAGCTGACAGCCACAAAGAGAAGAAAAATCAGTGGGTTAACCAATTGTGCACCTTTTTCCTTGTTCATTCATTCGCTCAAGTATTTACTGAGCATGTACTGTGTGCCAGGCACTGTATTAGGCCTTGGCCCCTTCTTAAACTAGCCCTCGAGCTCCATATGCAATACAAATACATGTTACTGCCCTTCAGACTCTTTTCCTTAACAGCTTTGCAGTGGTGGTATTTGCTGCCAGTCTCCTGCTAAAGCAAGATTTTTAGGGAAACAAATGCTCATGACGGAGGAAACTAACTAACCAGTCTGCTGATTTCCAGAGTGTTTGGGAGGGTTGAGATTTTGTGCTCTAGAAAGGGCTGTTCACAGGAAGCTACAAGCTATTTATAAAAGTCTGGTCTATTTCATATGGCTGTAAAATCGCCACATCTTTATCAGTGGATATGAGTTAATCTAGACAGTGGTATCTGAGGTTGTCTTCCTAGAGGTGCTGGATGAGAGCCACTAATCAGACACAATAATCATTTCATCTGTGACTGGTGATCAGCATCGTAGGAAGCCGGTTCCGTCCCTCACAGTAGCAGAGGGTCCATTAGCAAAGATGCTCGCAACGAAGACTTGATTTTTCTCAAGCAGCTATCAGAAGATTCCCAATTACGTGCTAAGAAATACAATGTGTTTTCTTCTTTCTGCTCTGAGTTTCTGTGGAAAAACATGAACCTTCGGCTCCAAACAACTGACAAGTCAATGAGCCTTGGAAAGATTCTTTTCGAATGGCGGGTGGGGTTTGCCTATGAGATCTGGGCTCTGATCTCTCATCATACATTTAACACACAGGAATCCAGCAAAACACTTGAGAGCAGTGTGAAGTGGGGAGGGAAGAGGAAGGAGAGTGATTGAGTCCACGAGGTGACTCTTCCTGATTTTCCACTCTGAGATTTTGCCCTGGAGTGAGCCTCATGAGACGAAAAATAAGGGGGGCTCTTTCCTTACACGGCCTCAGTTTCCACTGTCTTCTCTTGGGTGAATCTCTCTCGGTGTTACATAAACCTGGTGTTTAACTACGTTTTTCCAACATACAGAAACATTGAAAGAATTGTGAACACCCGTACATCCACTACCTAGATGCTACAATTAACATTTTAGATATGTAGATAGAGATGATTTTTAATATGAGCCCAAAATATTTCACGTAATGTTCAACCAAAGAAACGGTGGTCAAGAGCAATTTTGACTATATGTGATTTTATATTACTGTGAAGACAAAAAAGGCAAAAAATAATACTAAGAAACAACACTGCTTAATGCATCTTTGCCTCATGTGCAAGCCTGACACCCCTCCCCGCCTCCACCCTAGTGCCTGATTCCCAGGAGACACCCGACGTCCACGTAGCATTATGGAGGTCCCATCGCCCTGCCATTCCTTTTTCTCTTTTCCTTTTCTCAGGTAACCCAATATTTACTGGACCAATCTTTTGTGATGGACGAAGAGAGTCTCTACAAGTGTTCTCTCCGAATAGAACCAAAACTCCCCACCTGAAGCTGTACCCAGCCCACCGCCATGGACACATGCTATATGATATTGTACATAGTCGTTTGGTTTCTCTGGGTTTTCTTCTTTAGTATGTGCTTCTCCAAGAATACAAATCCGTTCTTGTTCTTAGATTCCTGTAGAACCAAAATATGAATCTCTGCACCGGTTAGGACTTGGTCCACGCACCCCATCCCTCGTTTCCTGCAGTGCCTGTTTCTTTGAAACAGCTGTACTCTTAGTCTGTTCTTCCCAGCCCCTCACTCTCCCCCAAAGGGAAAACAGAATCCGTGCATACACGAATCTTTGGCA